TCTTGAACTCAAAGTGATCGTCCTGTCTTAGCCTCTGGAGTACCGGGATTACAGGTTGTGTGCCACTACACCTAGCTGTTACACTTTCACTTTCTGTAGGAGAAAACTTGTAACAAATAATATAATGCAAATAAAATAGTTCGTGATACCTGTTGTGTTTCTACTTGAATTCAACACTGTATCATGAGAGAGTTGTTTCTTAACAATTTAAAAATTATAACTATGTTTTATTCTTTTTTTTTTTTTTTTTTTTTTGGTTCCAGGAATCAACTCACAACCTTGCTAGGCAGGTGCTTATACTACCGAGCTACATCCCCAGCCCCGTTTTATTCTTTTGAGATAAAATTTCTTTTCTAAAGGTTTTTTTTGTATTATTGGCCCCCTCTTTGTCAACTGCCTGTCTTCCAGTTTGAGACTGTCAAATGTGATTTCTTTTACTTTCCTGTTCTAATCCCTATCCCAACACTGTATCAATTTTTATTTTCACTTGCTTTTACTTCTTTCTCTCTAGGTTTAGTGAAATATATGTTCCTCTTTTCTGATGCCAGTCTCTCTGTCTGTTGCTGACCCTCTATTTCCATCCTCTGGCGTGTGTTTTGGGTTTGTTTGTTTGGTGCTCTGGCTTGAACATGTGCACAACACAAATTCTGCCACTAAGCTATACTTGTAGCTCTCCTGTCTTTATGTAGCTATGTTAATGTCTCTTGCGTATTTAAAACCTTTAATGAAGGTCATCTCCCTTTACCTCTTTATGACTGGGCAGGGTTCACATAATCATACTTCATTTTTGAGTTTTATTGTTGTTTTCACTCACTAAACTTATGACTGTTAATATTTTATAGTATGAGGTGTTGAATCCAGTACCTTGCAGCTGCTAGAAAAGTGATGTACCACTAAGCTCCATCTCCAGGCTTCTTACCCTTTTTTTTTTTTGTACTGGGGATTGAACTCATGACCTTGCACTTTGCCAGGCAGGTGCTCATGCCACTGAACTAAATCCCTGGTGCTTTTACATTTTATGTTATGTTATATAAGGTTATGTTACATTTGAGACAGGATCTCACTACATAGTTCAGGCTGGCCTTGAATTCATGGTGATCCTTCTGCCTCAGTCTCACATATGTTGGGATTACAGGTGTGTGATACTACATCTGGATATGACTGTTGTATTTCAATGAAACTTTTGTTGCATAGATCATCACTGACTTCCCAGTTCTGAGAAGAGTGGTCTTTATTTAGTTCATCGTTATCTCTGTTGCATTGAAGCTATCACCTGCAGCATTTTGAAACTCTTCTTCCTTGACCACTGTGATTCCGCTTTACTTTCATTGTATCTCTTAGTTGTCTTCTTATACTTTCCCACAGTTGTTCATTTAAAGACTTAAGACCTCTTAAGTAGTTAAAAAAAATAATGCATTGACTCAGAAGACATATTATGAATTTGTCATTATTTTGGTGAGGTTGAGTTTGCTAATGGTTAAGAGAATGTCCAACAAATTTTCCACTGTACCATTTTGCTTTTGTAATTAGTAAATGATCTATGGAATAGACCATATGATATCCTGACTCAATTTTATTATTGTTTCTTATCCAGATCAGCTATTACTATAGTGATTATAAAATGGAGACTTTCTATTTTTATTATTTTCTTGCATTGCATTCTCTCAAGAAGTACTGGTTTTTTTTTTTGGTACCAGGGATTGAACTCAGTGTACTTGCAAGGAGGCACTTAGGCCGCTGAGCTAAGTCCCTATCAAGAAGTACTTCTTTAAAAAATTTTTTTTTAGGTCTGGTATGGCTCAGGGATAGAATGTATAAACATGCATGAGACCCTGAGTTTGAGCTCAGGTACCACCAAAAAATAAAAATAATAATTTTCAAAGCATACTTTAAAGAATCAAAGCTGGGGGCTGGGGATTTAGCTCAACAGCATAGGCACCTGCCTTGCAAGAGTGTGGTCGTGAGTTCGATCCCCGGTACTGATAAAAAAGAAAAAGACAAAAAAAAAAAAAAAAAAAAAAAAAAGAATCAAAGCCAGCAATGCTGGTATAGTGGTAAATTCCTGTAATCCCTGTTACATGGGAGGATAAATGGGTAAATCACTTGAGCCCAGGAATTTAAGAGTGTCCTATACTATATAGTTTCAAAAAAAAAAAAGAATTGATATGGACATTTATTGTCTCTTTCAATTTGTTATCTATGTCTGTCATTCATTTTGGTTCTGAAATCATCCCAAATTTTGATAGAACTCTACTGAAATGGCTTCTTGGCCCAGGGATTCAGCTCACTGGCCTAAGCGTCTGCCTGGCAGGCGTGAGGTCATGAGTTCGATCCCCAGTACAAAAAAAAAAAAAAAAGACTTTTCTGGGCTTTTAGCACCGTCAGTTTTTGATCACTATGTTAATTTCTTGTATAAAAGTGTGTTCTAGAGGGAAAGAATGGTGCTTACAAATTGAGATCTAGGTGTTAGCCCTTTTCTAAAAATTTTTTAGTTTTTTTGTGTTTGTTTGGTGCCAGGAATCAAACTCATGACTTATTGCTTGCCAGGCGGGTGCTGTGCTGTTGAGCTTTATCCTTTGGCTCTTAGCCTTGCTTTTTTGTTTTGTTTTGTTTGCCTTTTTCCTTTTTATCAGTAATGGGGATCGAACTCACGACTGCCTGCTTGCAAGGCAGGCGCTTATGCCGCTGAGCTAAACCCCCAGCCACTCTTATCCTTGCCTTTAAGCTGTCTTTTTTCCTGACTCTTGCAGTGGACAGAGCTAGTAAGTTTTTATTTTTTACTTTTCAGTTTTTGTTTTTAATCATATCTTCATATTGACACCCTCGTTCAGTTGAGTGTCATAGGGCTCTTCTTAGCCTCTTCCTCCCCTCTTCTCTTTTCTGTTTCTACTACTGAGGGTTGAATCCATGCTGTCATCTATGGTGAGCATGAGCACTACCACAACCTTCAGTCTGTTTTATCCCCTTTTGCCACACTGAAAACTTGCTAATCTCAATAACAGTACTGTGCTGTGAAAATTGTAATACCAGTACTACTAACTACAGATCACTGCTAGCTACAAATTTAGAACTAATTTAAAATGTCTTTTTAATTTTTTTTAAATTATAGATTGGCCAGCAGTGCATTTAGCCTGGACACTTAAGTATTTTTTTCCCTGTGGCAAAATTATCCATGCATATTCAATTCTTTTTTTTTTTAGACAAGGTCTCATTATGTAGTTTAAGCAGGCTTTGAACTCACTGTGTAATACAGCCTGGCTTTGAACTTGAGATCCCACTGCCTTGGCTTCCTGAGTGCTGGGATTACAATCATGCACCACCATGCCAGGCCAAATTTATGTATTTCTGATGTGTTTGGTTTTATTTCTTTTCTTCATCTTTGTTGATTTTGAGAATATAAAAAATATTAACATGGTTCAGAAATCAGCATCTCTATTTAGTATTTATAAAAATAATTTAAGTAGGAAAAAATAGGTGATAAACTTGAGATTGCTTAGAAAGTATATTTAAAAGTCCTATTTTATTTCTGGCCTTTTACTATTATTAAGTTGAGGTGTATCTTAGTTGTGTCCATTTTTGCAGATACATATATATAGTGTTATTTCCTTGCTTACACAAAAGATATACTACAGATGTTGCTGTACTTGATATTCTTTTACTCTCTCATTTCATAAAGATACTTACTTTTTTTTTTTGGTCTTTTTGAGACAGGGTCTCGCTGTGCAGTTCAGGCTGGCCTTGAGCTCACTTTGTAGCCCAGGCTGGTCTCGAACTCGCAACAATCCTCCTGCCCCAGCCTCCCAAGTGCTGAGATTACAGGTGTGAGCCACCATGCCCAGCGATATTTACTATTTTTATAGCTTGAAAACTATTGTGTAAATTCTATAGGTTTTCATACAGCGTCCAAAGTATTACCATTTAAGTAGTTTATCTCTGTGCTCACTATTAGTTGCCATAATGGCAACTAATAATCTTGGGCACAGGTATGTGCTTCCCATATGAATAGTAGTGTACCATCACAATATCTTCTTAGAATTTAGAATGTCCAAAATAGTACATCATTTTCCAAAAACTTTTTTTTCCACTTTCATTCCCTGTCATTGATTAATATTATTGTCTGTCATATCACTTAAGCAGAAACCAAGGTATCATCATTTCTTCTATCTGATTAATCAGCAAATACAAATGATGTACCTTTAGTCTTTTCATTTTTTCCCCACTTTTCTTAGTTACATGTCCTTTTAATTTCTTATACCAGCCTTCTGACTAGTCTCATTTCTTTCCTAAAACTCCACATTGCTCCTGGTATTGGCTTTCTTAAAGCCAAATCATTTCACTCATCTCAACATACCTTCTTTGCCTCTGAAATAAGATTCCAACTCCTTTTGCCTAAATGCAAGTCTTTAATTTCCTGGCCTCTTGCCTGTGTCTCCAGCCTAAGCTCTAAACACCTTTTGTCTTATTGAACTGCTTGCAGATTCCCTGATACATCTTGTTCTGTCTCTGATGTACCTTCTGCATTTCACCTAAATAACTCTTCAAGGTACAGCTTACGTATCACCATCTCCACAGAGACTTTCTGCCAAGTCAGTTGCAGTTCACATACAGTGATCTGCTTACCTCCCTCTACTTCATCTTTTTTCCTTGATTATCTGGGCTCCCATGAACACTTCTGTTTTGCTTTTTTGCCACAGAGCCTGTGGCAAAAAATTAACATTTAGTAGTTAATGTACGAATAAAACTGATCTGCTTATAGATTTTTTTTAAAAGAAAATGTGTCTTTAGGTTTTCATTTACATATTTACTGCCAAAAAGCCTAAAAAACGAACAAATGAATAAATAGTTCAGATATGTATAACAAGTGAATGTCTTTCATTACCCATCTTAATTTATAGTGGGAACTATTCAGTATTGGCCAGAAAACACAAAATAGATTTTCAAATTACTATAGAATAAAATGTTCACTATTTTGTTCTTATAGACCATCTCTTTTCCTTTAGGCAATGATAGTAAGAAATGCTAAAGATACAGCTCATACAAAAGCAGAACGGAATATTCTGGAGGAAGTAAAGCATCCCTTCATTGTGGATTTAATTTATGCCTTTCAGACCGGTGGAAAACTCTACCTCATCCTTGAGTATCTCAGTGGTCAGTACACAGTTTGGTGTAATTATTTGCATTTGCTCCAGAAACTGGGTCAGAATACTATTTTCTGGTGGAAAAATGCGTTTCCCCGTCGCAGTCAAATAGTTTATAAAATTGATGAATACTTGAAAGAAGGAATTCAGGTATTTCTTTTTGCAGACAAATATGAAGAAACTTTGAAGATTAAGTTTTTTCTTATTTGCAGAATTTTCTCAATCCCATTGTAATCAATCATTTAACAAAATAATTGATGCAGAGCCATCAAATTGTGCTGGAGTAAGATAACTCAAACACTAAAATAGTCCTTTACAAACTGGAGTGGGAAAAGTAATTGAAAATATTTTTTAAGGTAGTGAACATATTTAGAATTATGTCAAAGTTTTAGTTTAGTTAGCATTAGGGATAGAATATGCAGTTTACAACAGGAATTGTCTATGTTTTCTGGACCTACCATCTGCTAAGACTTATTGTAATACACTGTTAGCATCTACCAAAAACTTGTTGCCCCTGGTATTATTTCTAGATCACAAATATCTTTCCAGCAAGCATACTTTGGATTTCTTAGAAACATTTTGTAATAGCTTGGTCACTTGAAGAAAAAGCTGCAGGATTTAGCAACTTTGTTGTGATTATTGCCAGTTTTCTTTTATAATTTTATTTTGATATAATTCCAGACCATATAAAAATTTTAAAGACTAGTTCAGAGAATTCCCATATATCTATCATCTAGATTCTCTAATTGGTATCATTTTATCACATTTGTTTTGTTTTATCCTCCTCTCTGTGTATATGTATAAATGTGTATACATATACACACATAATTTTTTTGAATTGAGTATTTCAGATTGTGATTTCCCTGTTCTAAAAGTTCATGTTTATTTTCTAAAGTATGTAACTATACTAAAATTATCAAAAAATAAGAAATTAACATTGGTACAATATCTCTCTTTAGTTTTCCGTAATTTGGAATAGTTCTTCAGTCTTTCTTTGCCTCTCATGAAAGTGACATTTTTATAGAATACAAATAGCGTGCATCAATTTTTAGGTTTATCTGATATTTCTTTAGTATTAAATTCAGGCCATGCATCGAAATGACATTGTATCCTCCTCAGTATATCAGATCAGAAATGCATTATATTTATATCTTACATCAAAGTGAACTGATGTTCACTTTGCTCATATGTATTAAGTTGGTATCTTTGGTATTTTTCCTTTGTGAGTAGTAAGTATGTTTGGAGGAGATATTTAAAATATCTCATTCCTCATCAAGCTTTCATATTCAGTTTGGCATCCATTGATTCTTGATTGTAATAGTTAGCTGTGATGTTTGCCAAATGATTTTTCTTATCCCATCATGCCTCTTTCATTTATTACTGGGCATTCTACTATAATAAGGAGCTTTCTTTTCTTCCCCATTTAAAAATTTATTTATTTATATCATTGTAGACTCATGAATGCTAAGATTATTCAGTAGAGTGTAACCTTTTGTTATTATTTTGCTGCTTAAATTATGCCATACTTTTCACAAGGCCACTGCCAGGTTTGTTCCATTTATTTAAGGTTTCAGAAATTATAGACTATTAGCATTCACTAAAATTAGTGAGACTGGCTTATTTATCTAATAACATTTTTCTACTTATGGATAAAATATTAGAGTGGTTTTAATCAAGATTTTTTTTCACTTTGGGTTTAGAGTACACATATTTTCATGTTTGTAGCTATAAATCCTAGAATTCTAACCCAATTCTAGTTTTTAAACCTAGGATAAGAATAAGAGTCCTGTAGACTTAGCTCTAAAATCTGTAATTTTTCAGATCTAATTTTTATTTTTAGGGCTAATATCTTTTAATTAGAAGGGCATTAATAATATCTTTTAATTGGAAGTACACACTCATTACAAGTGGGTTGGAAATAGTAATTATTTTATTTCTAATACCTTTTCCTTTTCTTTACAGGAGGAGAACTATTTATGCAGTTAGAAAGAGAGGGGATATTTATGGAAGATACAGCCTGGTAAGTGAAATTTTTGTGGTTGCTTGGATTCAGGTAATGATTTATATAATTAAAAATTAAGCCTTATTCCCACTGTGGGCAGCCAAGTGATTCAGTAAATTGACCTAGAGCCAGTCAGTCACTCAGAACTTCAAGGGGGAGAAGCAGCTTTGGGACTGAGCAGCTATTGGAGGTCACCTCATTCCTTTGCTCCCAGGCCTTGGGTGGACCGCTCTTCACACCTGTTGTTCCTAACAGAACCATTCTCATTGCGGCTTTCTTTCCTTGAATTGGTAAGCTGCCTGCCTTGGCTGTGGGTGAGTGTGGTTTTCCAGTAAACCTTTATGTGTGGAACAATGGAAAGTATCAGAAATCATCTGCTCTTTTTTTTAGACTTTCCAGTTCCCAAGGTGCAGTCTTAGGGAAGTGATAAGCCTGCACATATCATCTGTGGATTGCTTATGTAGCCAGGATGGGATCTACCCTCCTATTCGTAAGATGGCATCTGCTTCAGATTAAAAATATACACATCCTTTTGTGAAGCAACAGTACTGGGTAACAATAAATCAGTTTATCCTGCACATTAATTGAATAGAAAACAACACTTAAAATGTCTTTTCTACCTTAATTACCAAACTGCATTCCATTGTTTAATTTCAGGCCTTTTCTAACACAGAAGCTGCATTTAAGAGCCTTAGGGATGAAGTGCCCTTTTTTGGAGGAGGCTCTCTGAGCCCTGTTGGAGGCTGTGTTTGTGGTCCTGCTGGCTGTGAAACTGCCTCAGTCCTCTAGGACACACCCTCTCCATCCTGGAGTAATCTGCAGGATTGCAACCTTGTTATGCAGCCAGTATTGCAGTACCTTGTGCTTTTCGAATCCAGACAGGGTTGATTCAGCCCTTTATTCTTTTGAGGTAGATAAATTTGAGTGTCACACAGTTTATAGTTGTGGGCTGGCTGGCAAGAGGGAGGGCAGATACTGTGGGTGTTGCTGTCTGTAAATATACAGCGTGTTAAGTAAGGGATGAATGGGTTTTTAAGGGTTAGGTTATAAGCTAACTTTTTAAATCTAGATGTGATCTCTGAAAATAACAGTTTCTATTTCTCACCGAGTTCTAAAGTTGTGGGTGGGTGGGAGGAATTTGCTGTGATCTGAATGACTGTCTGCCTACAGAGGACTGAAAATGATCGATGATAGTTTAGCATATTCTGACTGTCTTTGCAATTTTAGCAATATGTTCAAATGGCAAAACAAAAACACTTTATAGTTTCACTAAAAGGAGTGGAACATAAATATCCCCATGCATCTTGGCAGCATCCTATGCTATTTCTCTTCCCCATATATCCCTCACCTCATTAATTTGGTCTTTGGTGCATGTCTGTTTCTTTCAAGGAAGTTTGTTCCATACATAAATTGCTTTGGGTAGATTATTCTTTTTAATTTATTAAATCACTTTTGTTTCCAGCTTTTACTTGGCAGAAATCTCCATGGCTTTGGGGCATTTACATCAAAAGGGGATCATCTACAGAGACCTGAAACCGGAGAACATCATGCTTAATCACCAAGGTGGAGATAATACTGTAAACTATTCTGTATTAAATAATCATCTAAAAATCTTCCTACATAAGTCATGATCATTTTCAAGCCTCATATTCATCTCTTTGGTATTGTACATTTCCTCTTTCAGAATTTATGGCATCATAATACTTGTTGATATTTAAGTATTTAGGCATTTATGATTGATGAGATTAAACAGGTTTGAAAATAATCACTTTATTATTATTTTTTTTAATCTTACATTGTGACCCAAAAGCCAATCCAAATGTTAGTTTTGGCTTATTTATGTTGTTGTTTTCTTCATTGTTTTTTGGTTTTTTGGGACAAGGTATTGGTATATAGTTCAGAATGGCTTTTTACTCAGTTTCTAGCCCAGACTGGACTTGAACTTGCAGTAATCCTCTTGTCTCAGCCTCCCAAGTGCTGGGATTACAGGCATAATCCACCATACCCAGCTATTTTTGACTTATTCCTTAAATTTAAAACTAAATCTAGTTTTAATGATGAAAACACAATAAATGTTAGAATCAGTATGTAGAGACAGGGTTCCACTGTGTAGCCCAGTTTGGCTTCGAACTCATGGCAGTCCTCCTGCAACAGACTTTTTTTTTTGTACTGGGGATCAAACTCATGACCTTGCTGTTGTAAGGTAGGCGCTTATGCCACTGAACTAGATTCCCGGCCCTACAACAGACTCTTGAGTGTTGTGATGACAGGCATGTGCCACCAGTCCACTTTCTGACATTGTATAGAATCAGTACATTTTATGATAAATTTTATTCATGTTGAAAAAAGAAAGGACCTTAAACTGAGCCAAAATATTTGATATAGCCTTGTAAATAAAATCTTTATTAGGCATTAGGTAATTATTGCTGCTTGTTTGACAACAGACGTCAGGGAGACTAATATTCTGTACAGGTATAGGTTTAGTGAAATGAGCCTAAACTATAACTATTTGCTGCTACAGAAGGCTCAGTATATGCTGCAGTAGTTTGGCCTGGGTAGACTTGACAGTTCTTGTACCTCAAAGGAACAATTAGCAGAGCAGGAGATCTAGGGGGCTAGTAGAAGCTGCTGATCTTTAGATGTCTGCAGAAAGTGATTTGTGGACAACCAATAATAAATGTTACAAACAATTTTTTTTAAGAATAAATGGCTTTGTTAACCAAATACATCATGGGACTCAGTGTCTCTCCCTCCCCTCACCCAAGATATGGATTCTGATTCTGAATTCAAAGGCAAAGGATAAAATATAGGAGTGTGATAAACGTCTTTGATCCATAAGCTTGAGTATAAGTAGCTCTGAAAATAAAGGCCTGGGGCCAGAGTGTAGTATATACTCACTTTTGAATCTGTAGATCATTGTTTTTCCTTTCTCTGAAATGAACCTGCAGTAGTTGGGCTCTTGATGTTGTTGCGCCAGTGGTTATCACCTGAAAGTTCAATAAATCTAAACTTGAGCTGAAACAATCTTTATAGGAAGAGGAATTTCACCATGTGGAGCAGAGATAATTATCCTATGCTAATTTTAATTCTTTTCCTCTAACTAGTAGCATTTGGTGGAGTAAACTAATTTGTTACAGTAACTTTCTAGGGACCATTTAAAGAACTCTCAAGTCATAGCTCACCATGATAAAAGCTATATGTTTGAAGTTGTATCACCACTTCTGCAGAAAAAGTACAGAGTACTATATGTTTATTAGGGTCCATTTACTTAAACCAGACATCAGAAAGATTTCCCAGGACTTTCTCAGGATTTAAGAGGATTCTGCTTATAGGTGAAGTCAGAGCCTTAAACAAGGTGTTCGTTTTTTCTTTTCTATTTTATCTTTACTAGAATGATTATATCATTGGCAAAAAGTGACTCTGTCTTAGCCTTAGCTCCCCATCTTAAATTGTAGCCTAATTAATTCTTAACATCTTCAAGAAAAATTAAATGAAAGGACAGATCATTGTTTTATGTGATAAGTTTAAATACCACTCTTGCTTAAAACTCAGAATAATCCTGCTATAATCTTTCATTGTAGGTCATGTGAAACTAACAGACTTTGGACTATGCAAAGAATCTATTCATGATGGAACAGTCACCCATACATTTTGTGGAACAATAGAATACATGTGAGCTGCATGTTAAAAGAAATATAACTTGTTTGGGGGTAATACCTAACTTTTACCTAATTTAAATAATAGTGTTGTAGTTTTCTGTTAACACCATTGGCTTTGTATGTTGTTTTTACAGTTTGAAAATTTTAATTTGGATGGTACACAAATGGGTGAATTTTTAGGCCTATTATTTTTTTCATTCTAGGGCCCCTGAAATCTTGATGAGAAGTGGCCACAATCGTGCTGTGGATTGGTGGAGTTTGGGAGCATTAATGTATGACATGCTGACTGGAGCAGTAGGTGCACAGTTAAAAGCTGCATGTATTGTAGTCTGTGCTGAGTAGTTATTAAACTGCTATCTTAAGAGACCTTTCCTTAATTTTTGAAGATATTATCAGTGGAGTTATTTTCAAAGCCCCAAGATTGATTATCAGCAATGTAAGACAACATTGCCCTTCTACTTAAGAAATTCCACTTTCAACAACGCTTTTTTTGTTGTTGTTGTTTTTGTTTTTCAAGACAGGGTCTTTTTTGAGTCTATTCAGTTCAGGATGGCTTGAGCTCTCTTTGTAGCGCAGGCTGGTCTCTAACTTGCAAAGATTCTCCTGCCTCATCCTCCCAAATGCTGGGATTACAGTCATGCACCACCATACCTGGCTAAAAGCACTTTTATTTAAATACTTTTAAACATCTGTGAACTGGAAGAGGATAGCTAATGCATTTATTTTACAAAGGGAGAAACAGAATCTCATACTTCACTGATGATTATAGAGCAAGTTAATGAAAATCCAGGTTTCCGCTCAGCATATTTGCTACTTTCTCTGTACCGTACCGCTCAAAAATCACAGGCCTTTATTAGTTTATTCATTTCATAGCATAGTTTTTTTTAATCTCCATTTATAACTTAGTTAATTCAGAAAATAAATAATAACACTACTTTAAAATTTTTGTATGCTAATTTTTCTCAATTTCTTCTACCTTAGCCTCCATTCACTGGGGAGAATAGAAAGAAAACAATTGACAAAATCCTCAAATGTAAACTTAATTTGCCTCCCTACCTCACACAAGAAGCCAGAGATCTGCTTAAAAAGGTATTTTTGTTTTTTTGTGGTGCTGGAAATTGAACCCAGGGTTTCATACATACTAGGCAGGCACTCATATCACAAACCTTAAGGACTAGGGTTCTAATAATTACCTAGGTAGAATTTTTTCCTTCAGAACTGGGCATTGGAACCTAGGCATTAAACATGCCAGGCAGCTACCAGTATGTGGCCTCTGTAGTCTGTGTGTGTGTGTGTGTGTGTGTGTGTGTGTGTTTGCAATAGTGTTTACCAGTATGTGGCCTCTGTAGTCTGTGTGTGTGTGTGTGTGTGTGTGTGTGTGTGTGTGTGTGTGTGTTTGCAACAATGTTTAACCATGAATTTCAGGCTGGCCTTGAGCTCACTTTGTAGCCCACATTGGCTTGAACTTAGTGATCCTCCTGCCTCAGCCTCCCAGAGTGCTGGGATTGCAGGTGTGTACCACCACGCCTAGCTCTGGTCCATTTTATTTTGAGACAGTGTCTTGCTCAATTGCCCAGAGTGGTCTGGAATTTGCAGTCTTTGTGCCTTGGCCTCCAGATTAGCTGAAGTTATAAGCATGGGCCATCATGCTCAGCTACATAGTACTGAATATCTGTTTTGCGTAAAAATATCATATAAGCCAGGTATGTTGGCACAGGCCTATAAACCCAGTGCTGGGAGGCTGAGGTAGGAGAATCATAAGTTTGAGCCCAAGCCAGGAAACTTAGTAACTTAGTGAGTCCTTGATTTAGAGTAAACAATTTAGAAAGGCTTGAGAATGTAGCTCAGTGTGAAGGCCCTGGGTTTGTTCCCAATACTACCACATACATAAAAAGACATATATAGAAAGCAAAGTACAAATTTACAGATTCTGTTTTTGTTCTCAGGCAGTATTTGGTAGTAATTAATAAATTACGTTTTCTCAAGGCAAAATGAGCAAATTCAGAAAGGAAAAAAGAAACAGTTTTGCTAACGTTTTTCATTGCTGCTTTTTTCTCCCCCAAAAGCTGCTGAAAAGAAACGCTGCTTCTCGTCTTGGAGCTGGTCCTGGGGACGCTGGAGAAGTTCAAGTAGGGATTGGCATGGCTGGCATTTTGGGAAAGGATTATGCTAATTTGGTTGTGATGGTTGTGTGTAGTTGCTTGGAATTTAAACTTTTTTTGCAAATTGTAACTTTTTAAAAGTTTGTCACAGTTTGTTCCCTTTTACTTTTTCTTTTTTTTTTCTTTTTTTTTTTTTTTTTTGTAGGCTCATCCATTTTTCAGACACATTAACTGGGACGAACTTTTGGCTCGGAAGGTGGAACCCCCCTTTAAGCCTCTGTTGGTATGTATACCTGAAAGTATGTGGCTTTAGGGGCTGGGATTTTTGATAGCAATGGAAAAAATCTTAGAGCTGACAGGAACATTATAGTTGTTCAAGTTAAAGGAACTTCGGTCTACTCTCTCGTTTCAAAATCTTTATTCTGCACTCTTTTTGAGACTGGATCTTGCTATGTAGTTTAGGCTAGCTTTAAACTCACTGTGTAGCCCAGGCTGGCCTAAATTGAGTGATTCTTTTGCCTCAGCATCCCACTTGCTGGGATTATAGGTGCGTTCACTATGGCTGGTATATATGGTCTTTTGAAGTAATGCCAGCCTGTCTCAAGAATAAAAAAATGTAAAAAAAGATTGAATTGCCCAGGCTGGTCTTCAACTTGCAATACTCTTGCCATGCTTTCCAAATAGCTAGGGTTATAAATGTAAACTACCACACCAGCTAACAACTTTTAAGTTCGTCAGTATTTCAAGAAAAAATATTTTATTTGGTTTTTATTTTTTGTGGGAGTTTTTATTGGTGGTGGTATGCATTTTGTTTTGTTTTGAGACAGAGTCTCACTTGCAGTTCAGACTGGCCTTAAACTCACTGTGTATCCTAGGCTAGCCTCAAATTCTCAACGATCCTCCTGCCTCAGTCTCCTGTATGCTGGAATTACAGGTGTGCATCACCACTATACCTGGCTTTTGTTGTTTGAGCTGGAGTCTTACTATGTACTCCAGGTTGGCCTTGAATTTACTAGCCCAGATTGGTTTCGTTTCATTTTAAATCTGATTCCCTGAGAGTTTCTTCAAAATGAATATATATGAATTAATTTGCATTTGCATTTGCATTTGCTATAGCGAAGTACGGTGTTACCTAGGTTCACAAGTCCTCTTATTTGAGAACAATTTGATTTGCAAAAAGAAGTATTTGGCAAAATTTTATTTATATTTGCAAACTGCACCTGGTAATAAATGCAACTGTGGCCATCTTTTCTAGAGTTGTTGTGTTTTTTTTTGCCTTTTTCCTTTTTATCAGTACCAGGGATCGAACTCATGACTGCCTGCTTGCAAGGCAGGCGCTTATGCCACTGAGCTAAATCCCTAGCCCCCTTTTCTAGAGTTTTGAAGCAAACTAAGTTCGTGAACTGAGGTGCAGCTGTACCATACACTGGCTGGCTTAACAGAAATGTATTGTCTTATAGATTTGGAGGCTAGAAGTTGAAGTGGGTTTGTAAACAGTATAGGAATTCAAGCAGCCAAACTGATAAATTAGGAATTTAATTAGCTGAGCTCAGGGACCACTCTCGTGGACCCATTTCAGAGAGTCTCACCGCGGGGCTGTGAACTGGAAAATTACAAAGCTTTTAAACAGAACCACAAAAAGACATCCTGTTGGAAACAGTTTAGCTAGAATCTTAGATTAATTTTTGGTTGACATTTGTGTCCTGCTTCTTTTGTTAAGCAGGTTCATTTTTCTCTTGTAGGTACAGCTCATTCTGCTTTTCTCATGGGACTCATACCCTGAATAATTTTCCATTTTCCTGGATCAAATACTGGGCACTAGTTAAATGCAGGGCTCAAGATGGCCTCAGTTATGCCAAGCTACGACCAAGTCTGAGTCAGGTTGGCAGAATTGGTTTCTTCTGGGGTCTGTGAGAGAGTTCATGCCTTATTCCCGCTGGTTAGCTGGCAGCTCTGTCATTGTCTGGCTTCTAGTGAGTGGTATCACTCGATTCTCTGCCTTTGTATTCACATGGTATTTTGTGGTCAGATTCCCCTTTTCACATGGACACCAGTCATACTGAATTAGGGTCTCTTTCAGTCTAGAATGACCTCACCTTTACCCTTTATGTCTGCAGTTACCCTATCCCAATAAGATTACATTTTGAGGAACTGGGGATTAGTTTTCAACATACCATTTGGGTGATGGAGGAATACAGTCCATAACAATATGGTTATGAGGAAGTGAGTTAGTGTTTTAGTTCTTATCTTTCTCCTACCTCAGAACTCAAGAAAATACAACTTCTTTTTCTATGTCTTGGGATGTAAGTGGTGATGGCGGAGGAAGATAACAGTGGTTATTATTATTTGGTGACCTTTAAAATTTTAGTGAGGATAGTTAACTCATGTACTTACTGCCCAGCATAAAAAATGATCAGTACAAGTCGTGGTGGGGCATGCCTATAATCCCAGCACTTGGGAGGCTAAAGCAGGATTGTTGTGAGTTCAGGCCAGCCTGGGCTATAAAGTGAGCTCAAAGCTAGCTGCATAGTGAGACCCTGTCTCAAAAGGACAAAAAAAGAAAAGAAAATCAGTTCATTTTGCCTAATATGAACATAAGCTGAGTGTGGTGGCTCACACCTGTAATCCCAGCACTCAAGAGGCTGAGGCAGGAGAATTATTCCAAATTCAAGACCAGCCCTGGCTACAAAGTGACCTCAAGGCCAGGCTGAACTACATAGTGAGACCCTGTCTCTAAAAGAGCAAAAAACAAAACAACCATAACCACTGTATCAGTGGTGGTGAACCCTGTAGAGCTTTGCATGATAGAAATAGCTTGCTGAGCATGCATGCCATATGTTTGCTACCACTGCACTATACCATCATCACACCTTAAAAACTGACAATTTCCCCAGCTGTTTCTCTTTTCATATCTTATTTGTTTCAACATGAATTCAATCACAAACTATATATAGTTTGGCTGCTCTATCTCTCAGACCTTTTTTCATTTATAAATATCCTCTCCAAATCTTCTGTTGGGGATTTATTGAAGAAACTGGACTCTTTGTTCTATAGTGTGCCTCCCACTTTTCATTTTGCTGATTTTAGTCCCATGATGTGGGGATAAGGGATAAAACCATGGTCTTCTATTCCTTGAACTTCCAAACACTGGCAGTCAGATTTAGGTGCTTGATCTGATTTTGATTGAACTCTTGGTATTATACTTTGATGAGAAGTTTTAATATATCATCATATTTCTTTTAGTAATGTTACTGGTCACTAACCAATGCCCATAGCAGTAGTGCTTATCCAGAGGAATTTTGGCTATGTTTCAAAACATTTTGGTTGTTGTATCCTGAGGGCAAGTGATGCTACTATTTCCAATAGAGGAGGGGCTAGCACAGGATGGCACCCTACAAACAATTATAAAGCCTAAAATATTAGATGAGCTAGGGTTGATTTCATTAAGGGTTTATAAAGTGGTCTTATTCATTTTATCTGAATTCTTCCTTAAAAAATACTGTCATCTATTGTTTGCAGTTCATACAAGAAATATAGGATACATATAGTAGTTCTTTCCCAGTTTTCATCATAATGAATTAGTTTCCTGTGTTTTCCAAAATTGGGCAATGGATTTTGTGATTTTTTTGTCTGTATCATTATGAATTCATGCATTTTGATCTATTTCAGTCCATTGCAGTTATTTTTATTGATTTTCATTGCTTCCCATCTAACACTGAGTGCTTCTTCATGTTGGTGTATGAGTCCTTTTGCCTTGACCACATTCTCTGATGTACTAGAGAGCAGAGTAAGGCAACTGATGTGGTTTTGTTGTTGGTGGTGTTGTTTTTGAGACAGGGTCTCACTATGTCAGACTGGCCTTAAACTCACCCTAGGCTGGCTTTGAACTCATGGGTGATCTTCCTGACTCAGCCTCCGGAATGCTGGGATTATAGGCATGCACCACCACACCTCATGGAAACTGATGTTGTATACTTACTTTGTACATTTTCTGCTCCCACATCTGGAACCAGTCATTTCTCCAAGGAATGCTAGTTCCTTCAAGTGGGAAGTAGAATTTAGAGATCACAGTCTTAGCCCTAACAATGCTCAATGTTAGTGGGTTGGATATTGTTACTGTGTCTTTTTCTTTTTGTCTTTTTGAGACAGGATTTTGCTATGCAGTTCAGGCTGGCCTTGAGCTTACTTTGTAGCCCAGGCTAGTCTCCAATTTGCAGTGATCCTCCTGCCTCAGCCTCCTGAGTGTTGGGATTACAGGCATGAGCCACCACGCCCAGCTATTGTTACTGTGTCTTGAAGCTTTTATTCAGAAGTATTATGTGTTTTATGCATAAAGTCAACGTGATAATCTTCTACTTCTACTATTAAATCAGATTTTTTCAATATTTATTCCCCATGCTGTATTTGGTACAAAATTCTTAACTGGATATATTTGGAAAGAGCAAGATTAAAGAAATGTATCTTTTTTTTTTGAAACAGGGTCTCACTACTCATTTCAAATTGGCCTTGAATTCACAATCCTCCTTCCTCAGCTTCCTGAGTGCTGGGATTACAGTCATGTACAACCATTCAATAAGAAATAATTGTGAAAGCCAGGTGTGGTAGCACACAGCTATAATCCCAGTACTCCAGCCCTTGGGAGCTGAGGCCTCAAAAAGATCACCGTGAGTTGGAGGCCTGTGTGGCCAGAACTCCTAATGTGAGTTCAAGGCCAGCCTACATTACATAGTGAGACCCTGTTCAAAAAAAAATCTGGTCATTTAAACTTAGGCGCTGCTGTTCTTTCAGAAGGGTATAACAGTATTTTTATGCACAGTAGACTATCAACAATTATTTTTGCTCCTTGAGAAATATAAAGGAGTAAAACAAGCTATGAAAAGAAACTCGAACTGGAGCATCTTTCTGGTTATTGTGTTGTTGGGGATTGGACCCAGAGCCTGGTACTTGCTGGGCCAGTACTCTACCATTGAACTACATCTCTAGCCCCAGACTGGAGCATTTTATAATTGTGATTTAAGTCTTCTTCAATAGTTTTTCAGATTTATTACTAATCTGTAGTGGCCACCTGGGCATATTATCTCTAATCATGGATATAAGTAGTGGACTAGGCATACCAAAGACTTACGAGAGGGGAAAATGGATTCTCAGATTTTATTTATTTATTTATTTTGGTGTGATCTTGGGAGTTGAACCTAAGGCCTTTGCACTGAGCTAAACCTCTGGCTTTTTTTTTTTTTTTTTTTTTTTTTGAGACAGGGTTTCACTGTGCAGTTCAGACTGGCCTTGAACTCACTTAGTAGCCTAGGCTGGTCTTGAACTCATGGCAATCCTGTCCCAGCCTGCAGTGCTGGGATTAGAGATGTGTGCCACTGTGCCCAACTAGATTTTTTCCTGGTACTGGAGATTGAACCCAGTGCCTTTGCACTAAGCCAGCCCTTTTTTTGAATTGTTAATTTTGAGCCAGGACTTTGCTAGGTTGGCCAGTCTGTGTTTGCACTCAAGAATCTTGTGCCTTAGTTCCCAGAGTGCTGGGATTACAGGTATATGACACTACAACCAGCCTGATGTTCAGATTTTTTAATAGGAATGATAACTATCTATATATACTACCTGTATATTGTTTAAAATTTGAAGAGGTAATTTGACTGTGGACACTTTCCACCTGCATTTTTTTCTTTGGTCTGTGCCTCCTAAGACTGTTCTGATATTACACTCTACCTACAACTTGAGAGCTTATAACACATATGATTTGATACTTGTAATACAGACTATTTATCATTTTCTAATAATTGTTCTATAAAGCAATCTGAAGAGGATGTGAGTCAGTTTGATTCAAAGTTTACACGTCAGACACCTGTTGACAGCCCAGATGACTCAACTCTCAGTGAAAGTGCCAACCAGGTCTTTCTGGTAAGTGAAATAATTAAGTATGATAATAATGAGAATGATCCTTTCAATTAAAAAAAATTTTGCTTTGAAGTTCATATAGATAACCTGGCTTTTTCTTTTTTTGGTACCAGAAACTAAACTCAGAATCTTGCACTTGCCAAGCAGGTGCTTGTGCCACTGAGCTATATCCCTGGCCAACCTGATTAATTTGTGTATAAGCTATCATTTTAAAACTCATTGGTAGCTACAAAATAGATTTTAAAAATCTAATATTCCATTGAGGGTTTTTTGCAACATTGACCACTTGCTCATCAAAAAATTACCAACTTCTGTCTAATCACTGGCCCCAAATCAGAAATGTCACATGTGCTAGGTGAGAGAATTCTAGTCTTACTATGACCTAATTATGAAAAACTATATTGGAGGTGATAACCTTAGTTGATTATTGTATGCACATAGATGTAAGCAGTTTTGTTTGCATTTCTAGTTTTTTTTTTTTTTAACATTTTCCTTTTTTTTTTTTAAGACAGGGACTAATTTGCCCAGACCAGCCCTGAATTCCAGATCCTCTGAAGGTACTGGGATTGCAGGCATTGGTCACCTTGCCCCACTATCTTTTTTTTCCATGCTCCTAACATTATGGATTTTGTTTCCTGGCTAATGGGGCTGAATACTGTTTTCTTCATGTCTGTTCCTTAAGAAATGGTTGTATTTTGGGATATAGATGTAGCTCAGTGGTGGAATATGTTCCTGACATGCTTGAGGCTGTATTTCAGTCGTGTTCTCTCCACTTCCTCTCTCTCCCCGTAGAAAACTGCAGCATAGTTAACAGGTATGAAGTGAGAGTTAAGGAGATTGGAGAGTATACACACTAGTGATTTCATTTGGTTTTATTTATACTTTCTGTGGTGCTGTGGATCTTACCTAAGGCCTCATACATGCGAGCATGCACTAGGTACCACCGAGCCACACCTCTAGCCCTGCGTTGGTCATTATAGGTGTAGATCATGTTGGTGTATTAGTTATTGAATACGGAATTTCTTGATGTATATAACAAAATGCCATCCTGTAGTCCATTGTTAACAACTCTCTTTCAGGGTTTTACATATGTGGCTCCATCTGTACTTGAAAGTGTGAAAGAAAAGTTTTCCTTTGAACCAAAAATTCGATCACCACGAAGATTTATTGGCAGCCCACGAACACCTGTCAGGTATTTCAGACTGTCATTCTTGATTTTTTAAAATAAATCTAGAAGACAACTGCTTAAGACATTTATCCCAAATTACACCAAAGATCTGTCATGTTTTTTGGTTAGTGTAAGCAGATCATCTGTATTTTCTTGTATTAAAAAGGACTTGTCTGTGACTAATCTAACCTAAGTTACATAATTTACCTCCCCCCTGCTGAAGTAAGCTACTGCACTGGTAAATGCTCTCTTTATCCATTCAGTCTACATTTATTGTGCACCAGGGGTTGTGCTACATGCTGCATGTTACATGGTTATATATGCATAGTATACATCCCTGACCTGATTAAGTTCACAGTTTAGTGTGAGTCACAATAAAGATGTGAATACACACAAAAAATACATGAATATAAACAGTGCTAAGTGCTATAATGAAAAGAAAAAAAGCTAGGTGTGGTAAAATACACTTATATCCCACCCACTTGGGAGGCTGAGGCCGGAAGATTGTTTGAAACCAGCTTGAACAATTTACTAAAATCCTTTCTCAAGAGAAAAAAGTGGAGGGTAGAGACTCTGGATGCACCTCAGTGTTTGCAAGATCCTGGGTTTAGTCCCTACTTTAGGGGAAGGGGAGTGGCAGTAGAAAGAACTTCTACCTTCTTCTATTCAGAGAAAAAGAATAGTTAGGCAGAAATAAAAGAAGTTCACAAATGTCGCAGGCTGAAGAACAGCAGAAGCCTTTAGGGAAGAAAAAACTTGGCTTTATTTTAGAAATGAAAGGGAGCTCAGTGCTCCTAGTGAGGTGAAATAAAGAAAATGCCAGAAGTTTGGAAAAGTATCTTATTTTAAATGTAATGGGAACCTGCTTTTAAGGACAGGACACTTAAAAATGTATAATTTAGGACTTTAGGAGTGAAAAGAGACTAGCAGTTATTCTAGGAGAAAGACAGCACAACTTTTTGCTTTTGTGCCAATCCACATGGAAATAAATTTAAATTAAAAAATATACATGAGCTGGGGACATAGCTCAGTGCCTGCCTGGCAAGTGTGAGTAAGTTCAATCCTCGGTACCAAAAAAAAAAAAGAAAAAAAATATATATATGGCTTTTCTCTTTATAAGGGAAATACTTTTTGTTGAGTTGATGAATGATAGCTCTTCCTTGTCTTAAAGCCCAGTCAAATTTTCTCCTGGGGATTTCTGGGGAAGAGGTGCTTCAGCCAGCACAGCAAATCCCCAGACGCCTGTGGAGTACCCGATGGAAACCAGTGGAATAGAACAGATGGACGTGACCATGAGTGGGGAAGCATCCGCACCACTTCCAATACGCCAGCCAAACTCTGGGCCATACAAGAAACAAGCTTTTCCCATGATCTCCAAACGGCCAGAGCACCTGCGTATGAATCTATGACAAAACAATGTTTTTAATGAATTTGAGGCAAAAAAAGAAAACACAACAAAAAAATGGGAAGGGATGTGAAGCATCCTATAGAATGAAACAAATCAAAATGACAGTCTCAAAAGAGTCAGTTTCATTACCTAGAACACTTTGGACAAAGGAGAGATAAACATGGATTTTTAAAAATCAATCAATGGTGCAAAAAAAAAAAAAAACTTAAGCAAAATAGTATTGCAGAACTCTTAGCTACATTGATTCCTAGCAACATCTTATCAACCTTATCAAGGATTTTTGTGTTGATGGCTTGAAACTGACAGTATTAAGGATAGAATGTTGCTTCTGAATCACTATTCCGATTGTGTTGAAGAAGGGTTACCCTTTCACTGGGCAAAGTATGAAATTGCCTATAATACTTGCAACTAAGGACAAATTAGCATGCAAGCTTGGTCAAACTTTTTTCCACAACATGGAATCAAAGACAAAAGAAACTTATCAATTGATGTTTTACGTGCAAACAACCTGAATCTTTTTTTTATATAAATATATATTTTTCAAATAGATTTTTGATTCAGCTCATTATGGAAAACATCCCAAACTTTAAAATGCGAAATTATTGGTTGATGCGAAGAAAGCCAGACAAACTTCTGTTTCTTCTCTTGATGAAATAAAATGCAAATGAATCATTGTTAACCACAGCTGTGGCTCCTTTGAGGGCTTGGGGTGGACTGGGATATATTTTCAGTAACCCAGCTGCAATACCTGTAATACTAGGGGGAAAAAATCTTATTTAATCATTTCTACTTCCAGTACTGCTATGTGCTAAGCTTAATAGAAGCCTTGGAATGGGTATAAATTGTATGTCCTACGTTTCATCCTTGTCCTGGGCCTGCATTGCAATGGAAATATCACCACCTGTTCTTATACCAGTATTTGGTTCAAGACACCAGAAGTGTTCAGCCAATGGCTGAAGAAGGATGGAAGAATCAGGATAAAATGTATGAGGGCAGCAAAGTAGGGGAGAGGGAGATTTCCATGGAAAGAGTGTATTGCCATGGTCTACTCTTAACTGATCTCTACAACAAATTGGTAAGGTTTTTAGTGTTACTTTTTACTGTTGTTGCTGTCTACCTTCCTTAATATTTTTTCCTCAACAATTTTAAGAAGAAAAAAAGGTATAATTTTTTTTCCTCCTATACTGGGGCTACATTTTTTGATTGTAAAAATATTTGATGGCCTTTTAATGAGTGTCTTCCACAATGAATAAGAAAACTTAGTGGCTTCTTTTAGGAAACATGTTAACAGGACGTTGTTTTTGGAATTGTAATAAAATCTACACAAGTGATTAACAGGTACAAAGAATAAAAATAAAGGTAACTTTATCTTTCTTAAATACTTCCTGCCTTAAAGAGAGCATTTCCATGACTAGCTGGTGAAAGGGTTTAAAATCTGCAGAGCTTTATAAAATATTTCAGTGCATACTGGTATAAGTAGATCATGCAGTTACAGCTGACTCATCACTTTTTTTTTTTTTGTCTTTTATAATGTCTTCAGTCTGAATGTCAGTCAATTTGTAATAGTTTGCAACCCTAGATTTTAAATAGATGCTGCTTGCTGTGTTCTCCAAACTTTTTTGAGCCATAGGATCCAAGCCATAAAATTCTTTATGCATGCTGAATTCAGTGTGAAAAAGCAAGACTTTGCTTAAATTATAATTCAAGTCAATTAGAATGAAATCAATTGACAGAAGCAAAAGGAAAACCATGAAAAATAATTGAAAATGTACCATTTCAATTGTGGCAATAAATGAAAGAAATGATAAAAATTTTACCTTTGGACGGCAAACTGTTTTTAAAAAATCACTTCTTCTGGACCCTTCTCTTACTGCAGCAGCCTACTGAGAATTTTATAATTATAGCTAGTGAATTAGAAACTAATTCTTAAGGGCAGAAATTATACTTAACATGCAGAACTTTGTTTTCCTGACAATTTGTGACATCTGAAAAAACTCAAAGTTTTGGTTATATATAGGCATTTCAGACTGTAAATGGCTTGTGCTACTCTGATACTTGTTTTCAAATGTTTTTACTAACTGTAGTGGTGACTGCCTGACCAAATTCCAGTGAAATTTGTACACCAAAATAGTCCTTCTCAGTCCTGTTCACTAGTAACATGTGCACTGTGACTGGCTAGTACCACCCCCTAGTTAAAACTGTTTTCGTCAGCCGGGCGTGGTGGCTCACGCCTGTAATCCCCAGCACTCTGGGAGGCTGAGGTGGGAGGATCATTGTGAGTTCAAGACCAGCCTGGGCTACAAAGTGAGCTCAACGCCAGCCTGAATTGCATAGGGAGACCCCGTCTCAAAAAAAGACAAATAAATAAATAAAAAAAACTGTTTTCATCATTAGTACTGTCAGTGGCAAACACTGCAGTTATTTTTTAATTGCCCACCTACCACTCACACAAATATTTTTTCTAAGTTAACATTTATTAAATGAAATTAATTTCCCATGCTGTGGCAGGTTTATTGAGAAATTGTTTCATAAATGACAGTATCCCTACTATGACTGTGAAAATATGTCATGTCACTTCAGTGTCATAGACAGAAAGCACATACCTATGCAATATGGCTTACCCTATATTTATTTGTAAAAATCCAAGCATAGTTTAAAATATAAGATGTCAATATTACTAGTCTTGAGTTTCTAAGAAGGTTCTTTATGATACCAGGTAAGTGTATAATAAAGACTTAAGTGCTTTTCTTTCATCACTTGATTATTTTCTTTAAAAATCAGCTATTACAGGATATTTTTTTATTTTATACATACTGTTTTTTAATTAAAATGTAATCACTGAAGTTTACTAATTTGCTTTTATAAAGATTTGTAGCATTACCAAATAACTAAACTGGGATTTATAAATCAGCTGTGATTAACAATGTAAAGTACTAATTACTGAACTTGAACCAGGTTTTTAGGAAAATCGTTTTTTCCTTTTCTCTTTTATGGTCTTAACTAATTTGAATCCTTCAAGTTTTCCATGCTATTTTTTGAAGTAGAAGATAATGTGAGGTAGGGGAAAGATGCATGTATGAAAGTCCATAAATTCAACATTTTCCTATAGGTAATAAGTGATTATAAACAAGATACATCTTAGCTAGCACTAATATTCTGAGCATTGAATTTCATATTTAATATAGGACCTAAATTTTTTTTATTATTCTGTTAATCATATAGTTCCTAGCTTACAAGGGCTAGAGCTAAGATTATTCCCAAGAGAATGTTGAATTTATGAAGAACGGATTTTCAGGCTTTGAAAATGGTTCATCTCTAAAATAAAAGAATCAATGTCCAAACATCTGCCTTTTTCATAAGAGTAGACACTAGCAAGCTGGACAGAACTTAACATAAAAAGTATTTCTCACACGTGAGTGGTCCATTGCTGATTAATACAGTGTTTTTCTTGTGTGATTCCTAGCACTATAGCACAAGTATTATCTCAGTGGATTATTTGGAGTTAACATCTCAAAGATGGGTTCATCTGTTTGTGTTTGCTCTTTAAACTGTTGTTTCTATTATCCCAAGTTGGCTTTGCATCTATTAAATAACTTCTTCAGCTGCCTTATTAGGAGTGTTATGAGGGTAACATCTTTTCTGCTTTTCATCTTGTATTTAGTTTACTGTATTGAAATATGATTTCAGATTAAATGAATGTAAATAGAAATTAAATGCAAATTTGAATGAACATAAAATAGAAGTGATTTTTTTATTATCTAAAGAAAAAAACCTATCAGTTGTACAATTTTATTAATGTCAGATATTTCACGTTCTCAGATTTAATAAACTGTAAGGACTGACATTTGTAAAAATTTCTGCTGAGAAAGTGAAGCTATTTAGGTATATAACAAGTTTTAGTATTGATTTTATGTGTTAGATGTTATACATTTTTGATCTTCAAGTTATGTCAAATAGATTTCAGTTATTTGTTTTTAAAAAGCTCATATGACACACTATATTGAAGCTAGTGCCACATAAAAACAACAGGAATACTTTCTTGTGCTAACAATCAAACTTGTTGAGCCACACTTTTCAACTAGAGTTCAAGTATATGCAGAAATCTGTTTTAACTATTGTCTTTTGTATACTGTAAGATGAGCATTTTTTGTAAACCACCTATGTCACACTTGCCAGCATGATCTCTCTCACAGTAGTTCTCAAACGGATACTTTTCTATAATACATGGCAGCATCTCAATGCTGATACAATAATATTTTAGAGGACATGATCTGAATTCACTGAATTGGGTTTAGGAACTATATTCCTCTCTCAGGTAAAGGACTAGAAAACAGAAGTATAGAAATGCATCCAGTTAATCACCATTATGAGTGGGTGGCATAACTGTTATATTTTTCTCCATTTTCAATTCTTTGCCTGCCCAAAATCGCCACCAACTGTCATTTAATCATATTGAGATACAAAGCTGTCTCAGTCAGTACCCACTAAGTTAAGCAGGTGTGGGGAAGCAGGTAATTATAAAGCTGAATGTTACTTTTGCATTCCAAGCAAGAAATCATTTCAGTTCTTTCACAGCTCAATTTTAATCTTAAATTGTTTTACTCACTTCTGCCAAATATCTAAATAATACAATTAAGTTTCACAAAGCAGGAAGATGATTTAAGGCCAAGTAAACTTGTTTAAATATTTGCAGTGATTCTCAAAGTAGGTAAGAAAGTGAAATATATTGTGATGGATGAACAGAAATAGTACTTACAACCTGGTAGTATTTACCTGGGGAAAAAGCTACAGACTTCCTAAGGTTCCCTTGTCAATTTGGGTACTACAGAGGCACAAAAAAATGACTTCACTTGTATCCAATTGTCACTTTCTTATTAACCCATGTGCTGGCTTAGCCTTCATCTTCTCAATACTGCAAATTTGTCTTCTGTCTCTTCCAACTTGTCTTTTGTATTATCTTTTCCTTGTATATAAACCGACAGATAGTAATCAACAGGCAGAAGCACTGTACTCTCAAATTTGATATAATCAGTAGCAGTCCTTTAGGCTTCTAGGTAGGCATGGTGGTGAATGTCTGAAATCCCAGCACTCAGCAAACTGAGGCAGGAGGATCACCAGGAGTTTGAAGCCAGCCTGAACTAGATAGACCCTCAAAAAACAAACTAAAAAAACAAAAAGATTTCTGTGCTAGATGAGAGAATCTTCCTTAGGTCAAGGGGAAAGAGAAATGTGCCTGATTCCTCTTTCCGCCACACTGCACAAATTACCTAGAGGCAAACAAACCACATTATCCAAAAAGCTTATGATTTTCTGAGTGCAAGCTTTTCCCTGACTTAGTGCTGAGGATGAAATGCAGGGCCTATCACATGCTAGCAAACACTCTGGTATTGAGCAACACCCTAAGCCCTGAAATGTACATTTTACAATCCCAATTAATGGTGACCCAAGCCTAAAATTGAAATTTTTCTGGAACAGATTAGTTATACAGGCATTCTTTAAAATTTTATAGAGTTGATCTTGTTTGTTAATCGCAGGGATTAAGCCCAGGATCTCATATATGCTAGGCAAGCTCTCTACTACTAAGCTATAGCCTAGCCCCCACATGAATAAGCTTAACATTCAAGATACACCACAGAACTGTACAAAAAGCAAGACTGAATGTTAATGATGATGGCAGGAAGCAGGTGTAAGGCCCACAAACAAATGAATTTAAATCATTTATTCTCACTGATTACTAATCATACTATAGAGAATGCAACATTAAAATATATCATCCTCAGTAAACTAGTCTTCATTTAGAAAGTGATATACAAGTAAAATATATTTAGAGCTTTCATTTAAAAATACAAATTTTATGAAAACTTTAAGCTGTTTTAGAATGGCAATTATAAAAGTCAATGTTGAAGAAATTTTGGATTATATATCTTAAAATATTGTGAAAATACTCTTTATTCCAAAAACAATGTCAGGAAAGAATACCTGAATTTTCAAACCACTGGATTCTAATTGCTGTTTTGATAATAATAAAACATATTTTTACAATTTAACACTGCAATTAGGTGTCAAAAAAGGGTATAATAAATTGCATATTATTAGGTTGAATATTATATACTTTTAAGGTTCTTTCATTTACTCTTGATAAATTGAACTACACACATAAGCCTTGTAAAAGTTTGGAACAATTTGGAAACATTTTTTTGTCAAGTCCTTAAAATACATTCTAATGCCTTTACCAAATAGTCACAATTACCATATTAGTGTTTTGTGGCCTTAATAATTTATACCATTAATATATTTGAAGGTGTAATGAAGTGGCTCCATCTTTCCATTTGTTTATACAGTCTGAAATCACAGTTCTGCAGAGGGGACATGTTTTCTCTCTGTTAAACCACAAGGTAATGCACTCTTCACAAAATATATGCTGTAAGAGAATTAAGAACTAAATTTTATACTTGATAAACATTTTATATTCATATTACACAGAATCATTCTTTAGAGCTGAAAGGAATTCTGGAGAGGACTAATCCTTACATTTTACAAGTGAAAAAATGGAGAAAGTATGACATTCAAAAAGACAAGAGAGGCTGAGGTAAAGTACATTTTTCAATCACTTTGGTATCCTGTCTGCCAGTTGAATTATTTTCCCCTTAACATAATCCTCTGCTATAATGAAGGTGATCATTACATATATCTAAAATGAACCAATAAAATTAATTAAAACATACTCTTCTGCATAAAAATGTAAGAGACAAGACTTGTCAATCTACCAAACACCTAATTGTGAATAAGTTACTAGTATGTACTGTACTCTGAATGGTGCCTTCTAAATATTGTAGCTTTTTTGCCATGTAACAAACATAAATGTGATTTAAGTCACAGTAAAGTGCTATATTCTGTTTGCTTAAAAATGTAATTACCTGGCAAATGAGAAGAACTGGCTTCTGAAATTCAGCTTGACATATTGAACAAATATCATCCACATCCGAACACTGTCTCTTGCTGGCAGCTACTCCATAACTCTATGAACATAAGTTACATTCAGCTATAAATTTCTTTCCTGTTTCTCAGATAGATACTTTGTACTTTTCAAATCTCTCTGGAACCCAGCATTTCAAAACTTTCCCATAGGACATAAGTTGTATAGAGGAACCACATGTGCAGACCCATACTTTGGTTACCTCAAGGTAAAACCATTACATAATACATAAAAGGACTGTGGAAGACTTTTTTCCACTGGACTCCCAAATGATACAAGTACTTCAAATTCAACACATACAGCTTTAAAAAACTATGCAATCTGAAATGTAACTAAGTATTACAAAATTTACATCCATATATGTTACTATCCAGGATTGCCAAACTGAACCCACTTATTACCTATGGCACTAATTTATAGTCAATCCAAAATAAGACTAGTTAAATGTAGGCCATGTGAAGAGCTTGCTTTAGAAATCGGGATGTGACTAAATGATAGAACTCTTGCCTAACATGTATGAGGCCTCTAGGTTCAATCCCAATACAGGATATAACCACAGAACTAAGGCATCTGTACTCCACACTGGACATTCATTCTAAGCCAACATCTATAGTATGATTCAGAAATTCAGCCTTCCTGTTTTGTCTTTGTCTGTTTTTTTTTCCCTTGGTACCAAGGATTGAACTCACGACCTGCGCACTTGCAAGGCAGACGCTTATGCCACTGAACTAAATCCCAGCCCTTGTCTTTGCCTTCTTGAGGCAGAGAATTTCACTATGCAGTTCAGGCTGGCTTTGAACTCACTTTGTAGCTCAGACTGGCCTAGAACTCATAGCAGTCCTCCTGCTTCAGCTTCCTGAGCATTGGGGGTTACAGTCAATGCTCTACCATGCCCAGCCTAGGAATCTATTTTCTAAAAGGTCTCCAAGGTAAATTTCAGAACCAGTAAAGAGTCTTGATACTAATCAAAAAAAAATTTTTATTACCTCTTGTTATAATAAAAGCCAGAACATTTAGTACAATGAAAGACTAATAAAGCAAAATTTACAAAGAAACTAATGGCAAGATGTCACTGGGATAGTGTAACTGGTATTAAAAAATGAACAGGGCTGGGGATTTAGCTCAGCGGCATAAGCGCCTGCCTTGAAAGTGTGTGGTCGTGAGTTTGATCCCTGGTACTGATAAAAAAGAAAGACCAAAAAAAAAAAAAAAAAAAAAAAAACAACCCTAAATGAACAAAGCCAGGCATGGTGGTGCATGCCTCTAATCCCAGCACTGAGGCTTAAGTACAAGGATCATTGCAAGTCTCAGACCAATCTGGGCTACAGAGTGAGCTCAAGGCCAGCCTGAACTGCATAGTGAGACCCTGTCTCAAAAAGACAAAATAAATGAAAGAACAATAATGCAATTTTAAAAATTTTTTTGGTTTTTTGAGACAGGGTTTCACTATGTAGCTCAAGCTATCCTTGAGCCCACGTTGGCCTAGGCTAGCCTAAAATTTGTGATCCTCCTGCTTTAGCGTCCGAAGTGCTGGCACTACAGGCATAAGCCACCACATCTAGCTAATAATGCAGTTCACTAAATTTAGATGTGACAGCTAAAAACACTCAAGGAAATTCGAACAAATTAAAATGTTACAAAGTCATGGGAACAGATAAAGTATAACTTATCTCAACACGCATGAAGCTGATCTAAAATTCTTGTACTTATGTCTAGGGATAACAAAATCAAACCTCAAGGGATAAAAATGCTAAAAACTAGCCAGGTGTGGAGGCATGCACCTGTAATCCCAGTGCTTAAGAAAAGAGGCAGAGGAGGATTACTATCCGCTCAGGGCCAGCATGAACTGCAAAGCCAGATGCTGTCTCAACAACCACCCCAAAATTAAAGATTAAATTTCGAGACATTAAAAATTTCAGAATTAGGTCAGGATATTGTTAGATGATCTTGATGCCACTGCTGTTCAGTAAAGTATCATTTAGCAGAGTATACTGCAGATACTTATGCTGACAAACTTCTAAAACATCACTTGTCTGGTATTTCTCCCTTCAGATGAGCTTACCCTGATGGTGAATGCCATTTCCCTGGTAAAGTTAAAGAACTTGAATATGTGTTTGGGATATCTCAGGAAGTCTAGGGAATAAAAGTGTCAGTAACTGGTTTCTGAGAGCTTTTTTCTTTTCACAGTGTTCAATCAACTACCACTGAGCCCAGCCCACAGAGCATTTTTTCCAGGGTATTTCAAGCATAAACCTTAATAGATAAATTATAGTAAAATGAATGATGGTACTGAATTAATTTGAATAAGGCTAAACTCTTTTGGATTTTATTGTATCTTCTCTAAATAGGATGTGTGTTAAAGTTTAGCAAAACTTATTTCTTAAAGAACAGGGCTGAGTCAGACATGGCCATGCATGTGTATAATCTTGGCATTCTGGGAGGCTGAGGCAGGAGGATCACAAAGTTTTAGCCAGGCCTGGTTAATTTAGCAGCATAGCAAGACCCTACCTCAACAGGATGTTTAAAAAGGGCATGTGGTAAAGCTCAGTGTGAGGGCTCTGGATTCAATCCCTAGTACTACAGTAAAGAACACAGACAAAGAAAGGTGCCTGGCTGGTCAGTCTGGATCACCTGTAGGCCATATTATATATATTTTTTAATCTGTACAGGGGGATTGAACTCATGACCTCACACTTCCAAGGCAGGCGCTTATGCCACTGAACTAAATCCCCAGCCCCAAGACAATACTTTTTTTTTATTTATTTATTTTGTCTTTTTCCTTTTTATCGGTACCGTTGATCAAACTCACAACTGCCTACTTGCAAGGCAGGCACTTATGCCCCAGCCCCTAAGACAATACTTTTTTAACATTGTATTATCAGGTCAACATTCTTGTAAATCCCCTGAAGCAAATAACTGTTTAGGAATTTAATAGATTGCAAAGCTGAAGATCAAGCACTGAAATGTGTGATCACTTCTAGATACTGGAAATCTTTGAGGCTACTAGTGTATCAGCCTTTTGTATGATACCATTTCTTTGCAATTTATAAGTAATAGCAACAGAATCACATAGTAAGTTTATAATTGACACTGAAGTGTCTATTATTAAAATCCATGCTGTGGACTGATTTGTGCATAAAGAATTTGTGCATAAAGAATTAAGTAATGGAGAAACTGCTTCCAATACGAAAACTGCATGGGACATGATTTTTGGTGAGAGCTTTCCTCAAAAATAATAAATTACAGTGGAAGCATTTTCATATAAGCTACATAGTGAAAATATACAAACCATTTGTGGGTTTCAAAAAGAAAAAGGAATAAAAGTTCATTAAGTGCTTGTAAGAAATCGTTTAAAATGTCAAATGATTTGAAATAATAGGACACGTTCTAATACATAAAGTACTGCAGTAACTAGTGGGTAGCTTTAATGTGTAGCTTAAAAAACTGATGGAACTACTAAAACTCCTACATCATAGCCACAATGGCCAAAGTACTAGAAAATAATCTCAAAAGAAAAAGGTCACTTCATGGAATCCATACTTCTAAAACTACTAAACTAAAAAGTTATATTATACAGAAGGTAATTTTCTTCAGTTGATAAAAAATACTTACGGGTCGTGTAAAAAATATACGTAAAACCTGTCTGAAAGTTCTCAAATGTCCAAAAAAGTCCAAAAGCTGAAAGAGAAAACAACAGATAATTAGTCCAAAGAACCCTATCTGCTATACCCAAAAACCAAAGAAGCTTTATAATGTCAAACTGTCATATTAGCATAATGTTCATTGTGTATCATACCAAATCACTTTATTCTAAATATATTTCAAGTCTAATTTTAGAATGTTGAATTTCCAGATTTGTGCCAACTCTTAACCAATTTAACTTAGCATTAACAATTTGATCAAGACAAACCTATTCAAATACAAAGCAACTTTTTTGGATTCACTTGTTCTGAAAGTCCATGTATGGGGGCTGGGGATTTAGCTCAGCAGCATAAGCACCTGCCTAGCAAGCTCAAGGTTGTGAGTTCGATCGCAAGTACCAACAACAACAGCAAAAAATTCCGTGTATGGCAAATATTACTGTTGAGGATGGTTATGCTATACTCCACTTACTTATTCCATCCTCCTTAATAATCCATGTTATGTGGCAATTCACCATATCCATGTTCTCTGTGGGGGGTACTGAGAATTGAACTCAGAGCTTCTGTACCAAGCTATAGCCTTAGCCCTTTTTTACTTTGATACAGAGTCTTGCTAGTTGCCTAGGCAGTGGCAAAATGTGTGACACTCCTACCTCAGCCCCCCAGAATGCTGGGATTACAACCATGTGCCACACCTGGCTCTTTTTGAGGACAGGGTCTTTGTTGACTAAGTTGGCCTTGAACTCACAATCACCTCAGTCCCTCAAATAGTTCAGACTATAGGCACATGTCATCATATCTAGCTCTCCATATTAAAACAGATATAGAACATGCTGTTACTTCAAAGTAAATACAAACATAACTTTAAATCAGTTAAGGAGCCAGGCATGGTGGTGCCTGGGGCAGGATTACAAGTTCAAGGTTGGCCTGGGCAATTAATTTAGTGAGACCCTGGCCCAAAATAAAGAGTTGGGCATGATAGAGCACTTATGTAGCACGTCCATGGTCATAAGTTCAATCTCCAGTAACACAAAAAAGGGTAGGGGGACCGTTAAGAGAGGCTGAATTAGTCGTATGTAAAATCAATAACCATTACATGAATCATGACACAGTGACAAGATATACAGTATCACTTACTTTTAGTATGAGGTAGAGTAAAGCCAGCAATATCCCAAGACTCCACCTAGTTACATTACCCAACTCCCCGTAGCTTATCAGGTAACGAAACCAAACTGGTGTGGGAACAAAAGTTCGGTAATACTGACATAATTCTTCTAAAAGCATATACCAGTAACCCTAAAAAGAAAGGAAAAAGAAAACAAATATAATTACTGAAGCTATTAAGGGTATAGCACAAATAATATTACACTGAGAACATTGTGAGTATATGATACTGTAATATAAATAATAATTATTCATAATTAGAACCATTTTATCCTATTCCTCACATATTAATCACTGTATTGTTTCAAGTTATTTCAAGAATGACACAATGAAAATTTTTTTATATACTACAAACTTACAGGTTTTTGCTGAGTGTGAAAGTTTAAAGTTTTTGAGTATCAGAACCCACTGAACAACTGTATGTAGTCTACAATCAACTGCTAAAGCCATGGAGAAGTATGAATCTAGTCTTTTCTCAATATATGAGGATTGATTTTTTTATCAGAATGAAGCAAATGTAATTGATTTTATCCAAATAGCTTAATATTTTAGTTCAAGTTCTTGAGCAAATTGTTTCAGGCTGGATATGAAAGTAAAATTATGTTATTCAGCAGACTACAAAACTATACAATTACATTTAAACAAAAATTAAGTAGCATAATGTGCTTTGTTAACATCTTCCAAATATAGTATTCAGTTAGTTTCTTACCTTTGATTTAAAAGGCATGATAAAAGAAGGCACCAATAAAATAAGGCATTTTAAGCCCATGAAGAGGAATTTCAGAATGAAGTCTGTAATTCCAACAATCCAAAGTACTTCCCAGAAGCTCAAATGATCCAATGTAGGATTCAAGAAAATTAAGCTATCAAGAGAAACACATCAAAATTTACCACAGCAATTTAAAAAGGTAAAGTGTTGATAAGGATTTTAAATTTGCTACAAATATTTTACTTTTATATGTATATATGAATTTAGCAAAATAATGGCAAAGCTCTGATAAATAGCATCATTTTGTTCCTCTCAAAAGGGCTTTTCTTCCTCTGCCATGCTAGTGATCCAACCCATGCATTCCAGGTAAGTGCTCTACCACTTAACAGGACTTTTAAAAATGTCTGCATTTCAAATCTCCTTTCATAAAGAAAAAGAACTCTGGTAGCCTAGCACCAGAGCTGCCTGCCTAGCATGAACAAGGCCCAAGGTTCAGTCATCCCAAGTATGAGGAGGTGGGGTGGCAGAAGTCTCCCTAGTTTACCATGGTTAACACCTTCCTGACCTATAAACTAAAAATCTAATACTGTACTAGACATTTGCCATTGTTTCCTTAACCAAACTGTCAGAATCCCATCTCTTCTTCCCACTGATCAAGATCACTACATCCCCATGTATTGCTAAATCTGATTTTTTTTTTTTGTCTTCTTCATTTTTATTGTTACCGCAGATTGAACTCATGACCACCTGCTTGCAAGGCAGGTGCTTATGCCGCTGAGCTAAATCCCCAGCCCCTGTATTGCTAAATCTGAAGGCCACTTCTCTTTTTCTACTTTTCTGAATTATCGTTGTACTTTTTTTGCTATTTGAGGTCAAAGGGCCTAACACCTGCTAGCCAAGTGCTCTAACATTGAGCTATACCCCCAAATCATTCTCTAACCTCTTAACACCATTCCCTCATAGCTGTTCTCATATGTGACTAATGATTTCTTTTTTGCTGTTCTCCCTGTGTCATATCTAGGATTGAACCTATTCTACTTTTTTCCTTGGCTAGTTTGTCCAATCTTGTAACTTTCAAATATTAATCACTTATCAAAACCCGTAGCACTCATGTCTACTGTGGGTTTATGACACCTAAGACCACTTTTTAAGAATTCTACTATGGCCTCTCAACACTGAATCTAGTCAAACAAAATGGATTTCAAAACCAGTTCCTTTCCCCAACCCAGTAAAAATAATAGTTGCATGGCCTAGAAACCTAGAAGTTTTGTTTGTTTGATTGTTCCAGTACTAGCAGCTGAACCCAGGGCCTTCACAGAGCTACATCCGCATCTTTTGGTTTTTTTCCTTTTTTGGAGACAGGGTTTCACTAAGTTGCTGAGGTTGGGCTCAAACTTGTGATTCTCCTGCCTCAGCCTCCAAGAGTACTAGAAATACAAGTTATGTGCCACCAAACCTAGATTCACAGATCATTATTATTTTTTTTGTACTGGGGATTAAACTCATGACCTCACCCTTACCAGGCAGGTGCTTACACCACTGAGCTAAGTCCCGGCCCCCATTCTTATTTTTCTTACCTGTCCAACCTAATTCAATCCGAGTCTACTGGCTCTGCCTATAAATTCTATCCTAGATTTGTCTGTATCCTCAGTTCCACTAAAATAAAGACTTATTATCTGATTAAAACTGAAAATTCAGGCTAGTACCACCCCAATCTGAGAATTTACCACCTACTCTTTTAATAAGCTTTATGTCTAGAAACAATGACTAACAATAATCACTTAATGATACTTAAATGATTAAACAAAAACTCAATAATCAAATAATTATTTATTGAGCACCTGGTGTGTGCAGAGGCATTAAGGACACAATTTCAAGTCTCTTAAAGCTCTCAATCATGAAGAGACAGGTAAACATTTAGTTATATTACAGTAAGTATTAGATGCTATAAGATACAAGCAAAGTGCTATGGAATACGACTATATAAAAAATACGTACTTGAAACTGTAATTTACCTGTAATAAAGTGACTGAGAATGAAAGGTATAGTATAAAAGAATAGAAGATCCTGCCAAGAATACCAGCAACCAAGCACAATGAATCTTTGAGGACCTTTCCTGTAAAACAAGCAATTTTATAATCCATTACTTTGAATTATGCCAGAATTTCAAACATGTATTAAACTTGTAGACTAATTTAATTAGAATGTTTTTCTAGATTAATCTTAATAAAAATACAGAATGTTAAGTTATAATCATCACCAATCGTTCTTTTATCTTCAATGAACATGTTACTCATATTTAAAAAATTATAAAAATACACGTTTTCTCGTGGTTAAGTAAAATCTTACCTGTATTTTTATTTATTTATTTTTTTAAGCGGTACCTGGGATTGAACTCACAACCGCCTGCTTGCAAGGCAGGTACTTAAACCACTGAGCTAAATCCCAAGCCCCTTTACTTGTATTTTTAAAGAAGCCAATTTACAAGTGGACATAAAGGACCCACCCATAGTAGCCTTTACCTTTCAGCTCCCTTTTTTGTACTTCCACAAAATGAGAATTACAAAAATTATAAGAGTTTAACAATTTATTTAGAAAAAAAATTTGTGTGTGTGGTAAACTCAGAGCCTTGCACATACCTGGCAGTTGCTTTACCACTGAGCTACTGCTCCAGGGCCTTTTATTTGGGACACAGATTCTCATGAAGTTGCAGGCTATTTTCAAACTTGTAACCCTCTTGCCTTGGCCTCTCATACCTGGGATTGCAGGTATGTGCTACTGTACCTGCTTTGAAAGTCGTTATACATTTTATAAGTAGAGCATCCTAATACAAAAACTAGAAATCTCTAATGCTTCCAAATCCAAAATTATTTGAGGACTGACCTGAAGCCCCAAGTGGGAAATTCAAAACTTGTTGGATTGAAAACACAGGCATCCTAAAAACATGTATAAAACTACTTTTGGGCTATGTGTATGACGTATGTAAAAAAATACACGTGAATTCTGTGTTTAGATTTAGATCCCATCCCCAAGATATCTCATCATGTATATCCAAATACCCCAAAATCTTAAAAATTCTTTAACAGTTCTGGTATCAAGCATTTCAGACGAAGTAACCAACCTGTACTAGTTTTAAGTGAATTAAATTGCTTTATTTTGATAGATTCTACTATAAATGTCTAGATCAGAATGCATGAATCTTTAATGAAGAGTTAGTACTTTAAAGAAGGCTCAAGATAAAATTTTATAACTTTTCCTAGTTTTCCAGTGATTTGTGTGACTAGGACTCATATATTATAGAAAAACTCCTTGAGTTTAATTTTCTTTAAGAGAAACTTATAAACGGTACAATACTCAATTATTTCATACCACCTTTATTTACATATTTAAAACTTTATAATGCATTAACTATAGTTTTAAAAGAGATTCTATCGCCTATTATGTTCAGATTAATTCAGGAAACAGAAAGGCATTTGGCATTTGCCAAGAATATCAAATAGTGTGGTCTAAGCCTTTTTAAAAAATTTTGTTGTTTTGGTCCTGGGGATCAAACTGAGAACCTTGTGCTACCAAGCAGTCACTTGTGCAGCTGAGCTATGCCCTGGGCCCAAAGCCTTTTAATCCTTCTACTTTGTTTGATACTGGGAATTGAACTCAGGGAATCAAACTCAGGGCCTCGAGCTTGCCAGGTAAGCACTGTGCCACTAAGCTACATTCCCAAGCCCCCTTCTACCTTTTCTTTAGGAACCAAACATACAAAGAAAATACAGAAATTCTCTTCAGCATTAGGTCAAAAAGTTTACCACAAGTCATCTAAGTAACAAAATCAAATGTATCAGGAATATTAAAACATTCTATTCTTATTTCTCTCAAGTTAATGTTCTATTTCAGTATTATTTTTCTATAATTTTATACCAAGAAAGTTATAATTTTTTTAGTTTTTTATACTTACTCTTAGAAAAACCTGATTTACAATGCTTTTGTTTGCATACATAAAAGTTGTTAGCAGCCCAATTCCAAGAGAAATCCCTGTTAGAAAATAAGGTTAGGTTAATTGAAAGAAAAAACCCAAAGGACGACATAAACTAATAACATGAATTAAAAGGAAACAAATTTTAAAAAGCCAACAGAAAGCTGAAATGCGTAAGTTAGATTACCAATAATGAAAGAAAATTAACTGCATTTAGCAGTTAAACAAGTCAATGCCTTATTATGCCCTACCTGTTAAATGCTGCATAAAAAGTTTGACACTCAAAATCAGAATATATGGAAGGCATTTTTGCAGCCACTTGAGAAGATAGCGAAATTCTGAGAAGGAGCTGCTTCCATGTTCTCCAGATTCTGTGGCAGTGTCATCAGGCTGCCTTGCTTCACTGTGGGAGTGACTCCGGAAACGACTGTGTACACATCCATGAGTACAGCTGTGGACACTGGACCTTGTATTTCTGGAACTTGGATTTTCAACATATTCTTTAGGTATGGCATTTATCTGGATATGAACATCACCAGAATGAAGACAAGATCCTTCTCCAGTTAGTCTTGCTGCATGGATACACTGGGAGGTTGATGCATCCTCACCACCTACAGTTCCTGAAGAACTGTGCAGTTGGTTACAGTTGGCTTGCATGGCCCTTGAGTATTTTTTCTTTGATCTAGATTTCTTTGCTTTAGGGGTTTGTCTCCTAAAAAATAAAAGCAGAAGATACTCCAAGTGAACAGTTAAGTGTAGACAGTACATTGCTTACTCAGTGTCTTTTATTTATTAAAGGAATGGCCAATAGTCATACCAGATGAATTTTCGGGTCATCTATCAGGGTACATTTGGTACCAAAAAACACGTAGTTTCACTCGGTGCTTCCACTTCTCAGTGCCACAAAGCATTAACAAAACAGTCATAAAGTATGGGTCCCAGCAGATGCTAATAAGAATACTGCTATTCATAATGAATACTTTGGTACCTTTTCTCTGCACACAACTGAAGCAGTTTCATCTCTGACATAAGATTCCTACATCAAAGAAGTTTCATAAGGGACAGTGAGTCAGTATTTTGTAATGCTTGGAAAGACTAGGAAGAAAAAAGTAATTACATCTCAATGCCTTATTATCCCAGGAAACAAACATTTCACCTACAAATTCGCTTTATGCTGAAACAGCTTCCCCAACGCTAATAAGAGCTCAAATAATTAATGGTGCTACCAAGAATACTGAGTACTTCCCCTTCCCAAAGAAAGTTACCTAAACACTTTTAAAATCGGGATATTTTGGAGGAGTCACCATGTAATTGTTAGGTGACGTGTCAGTCTGAATACAGATAGTGACAGTTAAAGACGGTTAAAAATGTCTCCCTCAGTGGCTTGGGCTCCAGGGGAAGGGGGTGTCAGAAAGGAGGCCGTGGGCAGGGAAAGCTCCCTAGGCGATCCAGCACGGGTCTCCTAGGACGCGGACGCCAGAGGTGGAACCCGGCAGACGAAACGCAGCGCCCATCGCAGCTGCCGAGCTCGTCGCGTTTCCGGGAAGACGCCAGCGGGATCGCCAGGTACCTTCGGGTCGCTCTACTTCACACCAGGTTTACCTAAGCGCAGTTACACGGGGGCTGTTTGGGGAGCAGTTCGGTTCGCTGACGGCTTCCGCTGAGCCGCCCAAGCCACAGTGCTATGTATTTTCTCAAGTCTCTGAAGAGCGACTTTGGTAGGACATTTTGTGCCTTTCTATAAATAAAAACACAGAACCCTTCCACTTTCCTCCACGCACAGACAGGAAAAACGAGGAATAGGAACGAAGTAACGAAAACAGCAACTCTTCCGGAATCCCCGACAGCGCTCCACCCACGCCCGAGCCCGCAGCACCCCTGCTGGTCTCCCGAGCCCTCCGCCGCGGCCCCTGCCGCCGCCCGCCTCCCTAAGCCTGACCTCTCATGACCGGGAACGGACGGAGGCTTCGGCATCCACAGAGGGAACAGCCACGCATGCCGAGCCAAGTCCTTCGGCCACAGGCATCATCTTCCAACCGCTGCAGCTCCAGCCCGGCCAGCGGCGGCGCACGCGCTCCCATGACGTCCTCAGGCGCGCGCCCCGCCCCTCCCGGCATCCTGGCCCCGCCCCCACGTCTCGCCGAGGATCCAGCGCCCCCTCCCTGACGTGGCCGGCGGGACTAAATTGTGTACTGCACATGGGGTCCACTGCAGGCCTCCGACGTCCCGGGCGTTTGGGTGTTTAGTGAGTGCAGGCTCGGAATTTGCCTTCGGAGCCGGTTCTGAAGCGAGGAGCGTTGCCAGCCCGTCTCCGCTGGTCCCCTGCCCAAGCTTCTCCCCTCTCGAGGCGTCGGGGCTCGCGGGCCAGAGCGTGGGCAGCACGCGGGAAGGTTCGGCGCGGCTCCGGAAGGGCGCGGCAGGGCGGGGCGCGGCGGGAGCGCCCGGGTTTCCCCACCTTGCTCCCTGCACAGCGCTGACCCACTTGCAGCTTGTGGCCAGTGACGCCGTAGCCCACCAGGGTTTTCATTATGGTGCCATGGCGGCGCCGTGAGAACAAGCCCCAGCCAAAACGTGAATTCAGAAGTGCTGGAGAGTTTGCGTGGGGTGGAAATAAAATTGGAGAAACCCTATGCTGTTTGGTACTGTATACAGGGAACCTTGTCTGTCTTATAGAGATGACATCAAGGAACTACAGTACTCATTTTCCGATAGCTCCTGAAATAGTCCTGGCAAGGTGGACTGAGCTAATTTTGAGGAGGGCCTGCTCTCCACAGAGAGAAAATAAGTCGCTACACCATAGACCCGGGGTGAACGCAGTGTCCAGTGAAAACTTGGTTCCCTGTTTTGCGTTTTGTTGGTCACTATGTACCAGATTTAAAGCCGTTCACGAGTATCTTGCCAAAATCTCTGGCGTGTGATTAAGCATGAAATTGAACGTTCTTTTCTCCTATCAGTACAAGAGAATCCGATGTTTAATCTCAATTATCCACTTTGAGGCTGTATTTAAATCAGATTACTTCTGTTATCAGATCATTTCTCTTTGAGTAGAAAAGCACTCTTTTCCTCCTGGAAATCCTAAACCAGTATTAGATCTGCTTCTTACTATAAGGTGTTTGTGTGTGTACTGGTCTTCTCTGAGCTTGACTAAATTTCTTGCCAAATTAGGTTCCATGGTCGGTGAGACTAAGGGTCATGCTCTAGATTGTAGTGAATTTCCCAAGGAGATGTATTCCAATGTGCACACCACTGTCCCAACTACACTATATGAATATTTTTATTTTAAATTTTAAAATGTATAAGAAAATTAAAATGTATGACAGCACGCCTTTAATCTCAGCATTTAAGAGGCTGAGGCAGGAGGATAGCTGTGAGTTTGAAACTAGCCTGGGCTGTATATTGTCTCCACAAAAAAGGAAAAACCCCAAAGATAAAATGTATGAGAATTTAAGGGGGGAAAAAAACCTGACATAATCAGTATACAGACACAGTGGAGCACCAGTGTGTGTTTGTAGATCGATAATTTTGGAACATTTGGTAAATTTGTAAATTTACCTAATACATTAGATTTATCATTTTTGACATACATATAACACATCGAAGGCATATCAATTCATATTGGAAATTTGTTAGTACGTTTGGTACTGCATTTCACCCAAATAATTCAACAAGCATATTTGAAGAGCATGGATGGATTGCTGTTTGGTAAAGTTTCATTTCATTATTGTCTAGAATGTTGGAAATGAACATTTTAATTTTATTTTTCACATTGTGAATCATTTTATTATTGTAAATGCTGTCATTATTATACATTTACAAAGTATACCAATTTTCATTAGTACATCTATTAGCCAGCAATTGATATATATATATATATATTTTTTTTTTTTTTTTTTTTTGGTCAACATTATTGACCCTTCCAATACATAAACAAACCCAGTTCATAGTGAAAGAAACTGTGTCTAGGTCCCTGGAAGATTTTGAATGAATCTTGAAGGTCTCAGTGATTGAAAATTCAGAACCCTTTCCACAATAACCTAAAGGAATGACATACAGCACTTCAGTAGCTTGGACATTTTAATTTCAAATGATTAATTAAAAAGCATGTGTTGGGTTCTTACTGTCTAGAATTGTAGTAGATATATGAGAGAATTTTAAAAGATGTAGTAGCTAGGGATGGTGGGCATACTTTTAATCCCAGCACTCTGGGAGGCTGAGGCAAGAGGATGGTAAATTAAGACTAGCCTGGGCAACAAATCAACTTGGTGAGACCCTGTCTCGAAACGAAAAATGAAAATAAGATGAAGTTGTAACTCAGAAGCCTTGGGTTATTTCCTAGTACCCGCCCCCCACCCACAAAGATGGAGTCCCTGTCCTATAGGAAAAAAGTGGATGAACAGGTTTGCAAACCAATAATTACAATAGATGGGAGTGAACACTATAATTGAAGGGGGTTTTTTTTGTCATGTTGAGACAGAATCTGACTATGCAGTTCAGGCTGTTGAGCTCACTTTGTAGCCTAGGCTGGTCTCCACCTTGCAACAATCCTGTCTCAGTCTCCTGAGTGCTGGAATTACAGGTGCACACCACTATGCCCTGCTGTATTTGAAGGTTTTATGAGCTGCAACAGAAGTAAAAATAAATAAAAATAAAAACCAGAAGTAAAAGTTGAGAGCGTTAACTTTATCAGGCAAGATATGCTTCCTTAAGATTAAAGAATACCTTAAAATTTTGCAGGACAAAAGCAAGGGTAAGGCAATCCAGATAGAAACAACACTAAATAAAAACTTGTGATCCTGAAGTACCTTGGCCCTTTAAAGACTTTAGTTACTCATTTTAGAAGAGTGGGGCAAATGGGAGAGAATAGTAAGAGATGCTGTAGGTAAATAGGAACTAGAAAATGAAAGACTCACTGACAAGTAATCTGATGGCCAAAGGGAAGCTACTGAAATTTAAGCAGCAGTTGTATGATCAGATTTGTGCTTGTCAGGTAACTCACATACTGATTCTAACAGAGCAAGCTGCATGAGGCATTTATGAAGCGCTGGGCCTTCGGCACAAACTCTGAATGGAATTCTCACAGTCAGGCATTTAAACTCACCTCTTAGAGATACCGGAAATAGGCTAACGGTGTTAATGACTTTCTGCAAAAACTGTGAAAAATATCACATAGATGTTGGGAAAATATCACTTATGTGCCTCCTGTCACAGTCTCTGTGAAGTGGGTCAGCTGCTCAAGTGTGTCCAAGGTGGGGCACAAGGAGGAGATAATGTGTGACCCTGTGGTTCCCCAGCTCTGCTGGCCAGGTGAGGAATCTCATATTAGGCTTTGCAACAGGCTCACCACCAGATACCCAATAGGTGCCAGAGCAGGATTTGCTGCCCAGATCCGTTACTCTGGTGCTCTGACCAGCCGCACGATGGTTTCACCCGGGCTGCTGGGTCTGTGCCCCTCCACCTGGTTTTTCTTGCAGCTCTCCTAGCCTTTCCTCCCTGGCAGCCCCCTGCCTGGGCACTGCTGTTCCAGTGCCCTGTCCACAGTTATGATTTCCAGGACAGAGCAGGGTGAGAATGGTGGACTCGCAACACTGGGCTCGTGATACCATGGGCCAGGCCTGTCCTAAGGGAGCCTGAACCCTGGGGTAAAGGCTCAGTTCTGTCCTATTTGCTTCCTGGTACATCCCAGAGCCCTGAGATTCTCCCAGGTCTCAGGAACAAAAGAACGAGCACAGCAGGGGTAGAGCACCCCACCCACTCTTGCTTTTGGAAGTCTCACTTTTCACAGAACACAAGTGATGTTTGCTGCCACTCGCTAACAAGATCTCCTCTGTGACATTTGCTGGCTTTGCAGTGTTGTGATTGTGTAGCCTGCAGACTCACCAGTAGGGAAGGTGGGTTCATCCCTCATCGTTTACGGTAGAAAGTCCTTGCCCCAAGGAATGAAAGCCCACAAGGGAGACTGCATTTGAGTGTCCTTTTAATGTGTAAAGTGCAATGCAAAAATGAGTTATGATGATGATGACGATGATGATGATGATGATGATTCTCACCATCTACCACAGCAGTTTCCTTGGAAAGATGGCCCTAGCTTCTAGCATGTTTTAACACTTTGATTTCCTTGCTCTAATGAAGTAATATAGGTAGGAAACTCTGGAATCAGATCGCCTGGATATGATTGGCATCCGAGCCCCATCCTGTGGTCACTGTCAAATGCCCAGAAAGTTTCTTAAATACAGTAGTCCCTTGATATCGAAGGGAGCCCCGGTTCCAGGACCCCTGCAGATACCAAAATCTGCTGGTGCTCAAGCTCTTGCATAAAACAGTGTAGTATTTGCACATAACCTATACACCTCCTTCTGTGTACTTTAAATCGTCACAGCATTACCTACCATACTGGAGGCCAGGTGCATGCTGTGTAAAACCTTGTTACACTGTATTATTTAAGCAGCAGCATACAAGAGCAGGTTTGTCTATGTTCACTACAGATGGGACTGTTTCTCAGATATTTTCGGTCTGCCCTTGGTCAAATTTGAGATGTGGTACCTGGGGAAATGAAGGTCTGTACTCTGAGCATTTTAGTTTTTTTAATCTGTAAAATGGGAGCGATAGTCTAGATATTTATGTCTAGCCCAAGTTCATATGCTGAAATCCACTCCATAGTTTTCTTTAATTCCAATTTTATAAGGTCAGTAACTCTCCTATCTATAGGCTTTTAGGTGGTATTTTTTTTAGTTGTCCTTGCTCAGGTTAAATAAATTTCCACCTAAACCTTGTTTTGCTGATGCTATACAATTTGGAGTAAGGATCCTCCTCAGGGCCACGTATTAAAGGCGTGGTCACTGGCTTGTGGCACTATGGAGAGTTGGTAGAGCATTTTTAAGGTGAGCCATAGTGGAGGAAGTTGTCATGGAAGGGGATGGGGCTCCCTACCAGCAGACACAGGACCCCAGCTTCTTGCCTGCTTTGTTTGCTTCCCACCTGCCATGAGGTGAGCGGGCCTCTCCAGCCAAGCATTTCCACCACGACTGACAGGGCCACTGCATACCCAGAGCAGACACAGAACTACCATGAACTGAAACTCTGAAACTGAGCCAGCATAGGCCTTTTCCCTTATTAAATGGATTATCTCAGGTGTTTTGTCACGGTGACAGAATGCCGACTAGCACAGCTGAGAATTTTTATCTCAGATGTTGGATTCTGGCAAATTCTTTTCTTGCCTTTGTTGAAAAATCAAATGATTTTTCTTTAGTCTGTTTATAGGGTGAGTTTTAGTAAATAATTTTTTAAGTGTGGAGCCAGCCTTGCATTTCAGGATAAATTCCACTGAGTTGTAGTATAATATCTTAGTTACTTTTCTTGTTGCTGGGACAATATACCGAACACCCACAAGCTGTCAGAGTTTGGCTGAGAGTTTGTAGAGATTTCAATCCATAGTCAGCTGGCTCCAAGGCAGGGCAGCTTGGCAGAGGCAATCAGTAATAGCCAGGAAGCAGACAGGATCAACGCAGGAGGAGGGGTGTGAGTGTTCCAGGAGATACCTGGTGACCCACGTGACCCACCTCTTCCTATCAGGCTCCGGCTCCCAGAGCACTCAGCTATAAACCCATCAGTGGATTTACCCAGTGTGCAGTCACTGCCCAAAAGCCCTGCAAATGAGCACATGCAGCTTTGGGCATTAGGGGACATCTAGACATAAACCATAACAGTATCTTTGTAATGTAGCACTGACGTACTAAAAGTTTGAGGATTTTTGTATCTGTGTGTATAGGACATACTGAATTTTCTCTCTCCCCTTCCCTTCCCCTCCCTTTACTTCCTCTCTGTCCTGTTCTCGTTTTGTTTGAGACAGGGTACCGGTTATGTTGTCCAGGTTGGTCTCAGACTCTGTGGGCTCAAGTACTCTTCCTGCCTCAGCTTCCCAGGTAACTGGAACAAAAGCAGCAGCCCTGCACCTGCTGCCTCCTTTTCTTTTTCCCTGCTTCTCTCGTGTCTTTGTCTGGTTTATGGTATCAGAGTGATACTGACCTGAATTGGAAAGTGTTTCCTCCACTTCTGTTTCCAGAAGAGGTTGTGTAGAACTGGTGTTGTTTCCTACTCAAATGCTGGGTAGAATTTATCAGTGAAACCATCTGGTCTAGATTTTACTGTAGGGAAAGGTTTTAAACTACAGACTCAATTTCTTTAATAGCTCTAGGATCATTCAGGATATATTTTTCTTTGTGAATGTGCCTTGGTAGTTGTGTCTTTGAAGGAATTGGCATAAAGTTGTTTGTAACATCCTCGTAATAGCCTTTTAATATCTTTAACCTCTTCAGTGATAACATCTTCATTGCTGGTTGTGATAATTTGTGTCTGTTTTTTTCTTGGTCAGCACAGCTAGAAGTTTTTTGATTTCATTGATATTTTTAATAAAATTTGGTTTCACTTATTTTGATTGTATTTATTTTCTTTGAGTTTTCTGTTTGTTTGTTCATTTTTGTTTTTGTACTAGGGATCAAACTCACAACCTTGCACTTGCCAGGAAGGTGCTTGTGCCACTAAGCTAAATCCCGGCCCTGTTTTATTTATTTTCTTTGTTGTTTTTTTGTTTGTGTTTGGGGGTGCTGGGGCTTGAACCTAGAGCTCTGTATATACTTGACAGGTGCTATCACTCCAACCTGTTTTTAATTGATTTCTGGTCTTATTTGTACTATTTTCTTTCTTCTGTCTTTTTTTTTTTTTTTTTTTTTTTTGAGACAGGATCTCACCGTGTAGTTCAAGCTGGCCTTGAGTTCACTATGTATTAAAAGCTGACTATGAACTTGCAGTGATCCTCTTGCCTCAGCTTCCCGAGTGCTAGGATTACAGCCACCATGCCTGGCATCTTCTGCGTCCTTTGTGTTCATTTGCTCTTCTTTATCTGGTGTTGGGAGCCACCACATTGCCGAGCCGCCGCATATAGCGATCATGCGGCCTGTGGTAAAGAGTAAAGCCTGAGTTAGATTACCCCTCCCATCGAGCACGTTAGTTTCCTGCTTACCGCGTAAACAACCCGCTCAATAATATGTTAGCCAATCAGCTTGCCTTGCTTACTTTAACATGATTGGACACTGTATCCGTATATATACTGGTGCCACCCCTGGGGCGAAGTAGAAGCCCGGAAGGAGCCGCGGAGAGCGGACCGGTAGAGGCTTCGGAGCGAAGCACGGAAGGAGCCGCGGGGAGCGGACCAGAGGAGGCTTCGGCTGGGAGCGATCCCAGGGCAGGCTGTACGGAGAGAAAATAAAAGAAAAGGTTGTCCACTGCCAGACTTTGTCGTGTGTCCTTCCTGCCGGCCGGGAGCGACATCGACATCTGGTGGCCCGTACGGGGACTGATCACCCCCGAGACATGGCAGTGGACAACGCTCCAACGCAGAGCTGCAAGACAGGTGAGTAGAGGATAAACCTGGGCCCTGGGTGGCGCGCACCTACAGGGTTTGTAGACTCCTCTCAGGCTCACGTGTAAGTGGCGGATTCCTTGGGCCTCACGCGGTGAGTAACATATTAAAAAATGGGAAACATGCTAGGTAGCAGCACTAAGAGTGAGGGTGGTTGCGGGGAAAGCTCTCAAGAGCTTACAAAAGTACGCAGGGTATTTGAGCAGGCCCAGTCAGGGAGCTCCCGGGAGGGGTCCGTCAAAGGAGACAAAGATATAAAGGAGGAAGACGGGGCTCAGGCCTCGGAGTCGTCTGACTCCGAGAACGAGGAAGGCTTAGACAACGATGAGACCAAGGAGCCTAGATGCCAAGAGGATAGGCCACTCGATAAGGAGTCGCAGGGTTCTTTCCCAGCATTGCGCCGCGAATTGCGCTCCGCTCAACTTGGTCTGCGGAGGAGTAGAGAGCTCCTGAGCGCCCCCTGGCGCGAGAGGGAGGCGAAGCCTTCCGCCCCACCTTGGGGGCTGTTCCCGGAAGCGATCCCTCGCCACGAGGCGGCCGCGTGGGAGCTCCCTCCCCTTTCGCCAGAACAGGAAGTGATGCACGGGCCCCCATTTTCCGCCCAATCACGGCCGCCGTCTTATGCTCCGCCGCCGGCGGGTCGGTATTTTTACAGGCGGCTTTGGCAGGGGGGACGTTTGTCTCATGAGGTACATCCACCACCTGGGATAGATAGTGGCCCCTACAGGATATTTCCTGTACAAGTAGCTATGGGCCAGGGACGTAATGCATGGGAGCCTTTTGAGATAAAGCAGATTAGAGAACTTAAAAATACAGTTACAACCTTTGGGCCGACTGCGCCTTACACCATTGCCATGCTGGAGAACCTGTCTTCTGGGCCCCTCACCCCCGCGGACTGGATTCAGCTGGCAAAGGCGTGTCTGCCCTCGGGTAGTTACCTGGATTGGCGAGCCTGGTACACAGAGTTCTCTGCCGAGCAGGCTGAGAAAAACGCCGGTCGAGGAAATGGGGGCTGGGGATTTAGCTCAGCGGCATAAGCGCCTGCCTTGTAAGCAGGCAATCGCCAGTTCGATTAAATACCAATAAAAAAAAAAAAAAGATAAAAATAAAAAATAAAAAATAAAAAACAAAAAGGGGGAGTAAGCCAAGGCCTGCCTCCAAAGGCGCGGTTATCTATGGCATGACAATGGATGGGCCCGGATCCGGTAATCAGCTGGAACCGAGGCGCAGTTTGTGTTTTTCTGCAGGAATCGGGACGAGAACCACTGTGGGTACCGGAGAGACTGACACGGGCGACAAAGCCCTCGACTGAAGATCAGACCTGCCCTACCGGAGATCCATCACAGACCAACCAACAAGATGAATAGAAATAGCGGTAGCCCGAAATGGACAAGAAGATCCTCAGGCATATGCATGGCTCGCTCGCCTAGCCTACGACCGAGTCTAGGGACGGTGAGCTTCCCACACTCCTCCTCTAAAAAATTATGATATAGCAGGGTAGATGAGTCAATGACGGGTAAGAGCATGCCTCCCCAGCATGACTCAACCTAAGACAGGCCCTACCCCATACCGCACGAAAGCCGCTGAATTACTAGGTTTCGCCCAAACCAAATGTCGCCCCGGGGGGATCATGCGGAGCGACATGAGTGTATGCCTGTGTGCATCCAGGTTCCGTCCGGTTCCTTCCTGGCCCTGGAAAAAGGACGAGGGCCTCAGGGCCTCGGCAGACTCGGGGACGGCCGACCCGGGCCGACGCCGAGAGCCCTTGGTGGGCCTCCTATCAGGGCATAGGCCTCTACACTCAATTCAGGACGGGCTGCGATGCGTAGACTTATTTAAAATAAAAAAGGGGGAGATGTTGGGAGCCACCACATTGCCGAGCCGCCGCATATAGCGATCATGCGGCCTGTGGTAAAGAGTAAAGCCTGAGTTAGATTACCCCTCCCATCGAGCACGTTAGTTTCCTGCTTACCGCGTAAACAACCCGCTCAATAATATGTTAGCCAATCAGCTTGCCTTGCTTACTTTAACATGATTGGACACTGTATCCGTATATATACTGGTGCCACCCCTGGGGGGAAGTAGAAGCCCGGAAGGAGCCGCGGAGAGCGGACCGGTAGAGGCTTCGGAGCGAAGCACGGAAGGAGCCGCGGGGAGCGGACCAGAGGAGGCTTCGGCTGGGAGCGATCCCAGGGCAGGCTGTACGGAGAGAAAATAAAAGAAAAGGTTGTCCACTGCCAGACTTTGTCGTGTGTCCTTCCTGCCGGCCGGGAGCGACATCGACAATCTGGTTTCTTTCTTTTTCTTTTCTTTTTGAGACAGGGTCTTGCTATGTAGTTCAGACTGGCCTTGAACCTTCTGTGTAGCCCAGGCTGGCTTTGCAATGATCTTCCTGCCTCAGACTCCTGAGTTCTGGGAATCTAGGTATGAGCCACCATGCCTGTCTATCTGATTTCTTTAAAGATAGACATTTCGATTATTCATTTATGATTTTTCTGATAGAAGCATATAATCTATCACTGCTTTAACTGTGTATCTTAAATCTTATGTTATATTAATTTTCATTCAATTGAAATAATCTCTACTTTTCTTTATGATTTCTTTGATCTTTGGGTTATTTAGAAATCTACTGTGTAATTTCTAAATACCTGGAAAATTTCTAGATATCTTTCAGTTTTTTAATTTTGATTTTATTTATTTATCTTTTGGTCTTTTTGAGACAGGGTCTAACTATGCAGTTCAGGCTGGCCTCGGGGCTCACTTCATAACACAGGCTGGTTTTGAACTTGCAACCATCCTCCTGCCTCAGCTTCCCAAATGCTGGGATTACAGGCATGCGTCACCACACCTGGCTCTAGATATCTTTCCTCTATTAGTTTCTTTCTTTCTTCCTTTCTTTTACTTAAACTCCTGTACTCCTGTTGGCACTGGGGATTGAACCAAAAACTTTCACACTGAGCCACAGCCTCGACCACTTATTTTTCTTTTTTTCACATTGAGACAGGATCTGGCTAAGGCATTAAGTCGTCTGGGCTGGCCTCAAACTTGTGGTCCTCCTCCTGGCTAACCCTGACAAGAGCTGGGATTACAAACCGGCATCATCACACACAGCCTCTATTATCAGTTTCTAATTTAATTCTGATATGTTTAGAGAATATGCCTTTTATCATTTTAATTCTTTAAAATGTGTTTGATAGCTATCTTGGCAAATGTTTCGGGTGTACTTGAAAAAAATGTATATTCTTTCAGTTTTGATGGTGCACACCTGTAATCCCAGCACTCAGGAGGCTGAGGCAGGAGGAATGCTTCGAGTTCAAGACCAGCCTGAGCTTAAAAAAGCACCAAAAGAAGAAGGGGGGTGATGTGTATTCTACTGTGGTGAGAAAGAGTGCTTTACAGATATCTAATAAGTCGGGTTGGCCAGCAGTGTTACTTAGATCTTCGCAGTCTTTGCTGATTTTCTGTTTGCTTGTTCTACTAATCTCTAGGAGAGACAAGTTGAAGTCTCCAAATGTAATTATAAACTGGCCTATGTGCCTTTAGAATTTTAATATTATTATTTTTGCTTCATGTATTTTGAAGATGTTTTGCTAAGTCCACACATATACAGGAATGTTATGTTATCCTGCTGATTTGCTCCTTTAATATTATGTACTCTCTGTCTTTATCCCTAGTAATATATAGCATCGCTGTTTCTTTTGATTAGTTTTTAAAAATATTTTCTTCTAGCCTTTTAACATCTCTATGAACTACTTATTTTATTTTTGTTGACTCTTTTCATTTAAATCCAATTTGACAATTTCTGCTTTTAATTGATATGTATCATATTTAGTGTAATTGTTGATACATTGAACTTAATTTACTATTTTATAATTTGTCTTGTTTTCCCTTTTTTCTTTCTCCATTTTGTCATTTCAGCCTGCTTTTGAATTATTTGAAATTTTTAGTATTCTGCTTCATTTGGTCTGTTGACTTTTGGGCTACCTCTCTTTACATGTTTTTTTTTTTTTTTAAATTGAGTGGGGGCTCCTGGAAATTGAACCCAGGCATTGCATGTGCTAAGCACCTGCTATCCCACTAAGAACATCTTCAACCCTCTTAGCATTTTAAGTGTGTCATTCAATAATGTTAAATATATCCACATTGTTACAAAGTGAATCTCAGAACTTTCATTTTGCAAAATCAAAACGCTAAAGCCAGGCATGGTGGTGGTATATGCCTGTAATCCCAGCATTGCAGAGGCTGAGGCAGAAGTACAGCCTCGAGTTCAAGGCCAGCCTGAGCTACACAGTGAGATACTGTGTCAAACAAAACAAAACCTGTAATTGTTAAATGATGCCTCATTCCCCCACCACCCCAACCTCTGGTAAATGCTATTTTACTTCTAGTTCTATGAATTTGACTACTTCAGATACCTCAGTTAAGTTGAATCCTACATATTTTTCTTTATGACTTGCTGGTTTCATTTAGCATAATTTGTGTAGGTCAACCATACTTTACCATAGGACTTTGCTTTGTTTTAAAGGCTGAACAATATTCCCTTGTATGTATATGCAACATTTTTTTTATCACTGATCTATCAATAGATGCTAGGACTTTTTTTACTTTTTGTGAATAATACTGCTTTGGACTCAGGTATACAAATACCTCTCTGAGACTGAATTCTTTTGGATATATACCCAGAATTGCTGAATTTTATAGTAATTCTGAATTTAATTTTTGAGAACTCTTTTCTTTCTTTCTTTCTTTCTTTCTTTCTTTCTTTCTTTCTTTCTTTCTTTCTTTCTTTCGGTTTTTTGAGACAAGGTCTCACTATACAGTGTGGGCTGGCGTTGAGCTCACTTGGTAGCCCAGGCTGATCTCAAACTCAAAATGCTCCTCTTGCCTGAGCCTCCCACCCTGGGATCACAGGCATGAGCCACCATGCCCAGTCTGAGAGCTCTTTTCTGTAGTGGGTGTACCATTTACATTCCCATGAACAGTGTACAAAGGTTCTAACTTCTCTGCATCTTTGCCAATACCTATTATTTTCTGAATGTTCATTGGTAGTCATCCTGATGGGTGTGAGGTAAAATCTCATTGGTTTCCAGTTTCCTAAGGATCCTTAGGAAATTGCTCTCTGTCAGTTTTCTACCTGTTAACCACTGTTCCTGTAAACTTTTTTCAAATCCATTTTATTTCAATAAGAAAAAAAGAAAAGAAAAAAATAAAACAAAATTTGAAAATGTGTCGATCAGGGGCAACAATGGCACAAACATTGCGCATTGTCATCCCCAAATCATTTACCCAGAACACAAGACATCTACATTCAATTGTCCGAACAGCACCGGCACAAGTCTTTCTCTTCAGTAAACTCAGGAAAATCAGTAATCTAACTATCTTGACTATTTTTTTATATACGTATGTTCATATACATATGTGTTTCTTTAAGCTTCTCACACTAGTAAGACAAACGATATTTGCATGTGTGTCTTATTTATTTCACTTAAGAATATGCTTCACGTTGCATCCATTTACTCATAAAAGTCTCCCGTTTATCTTTCCTTATGGCTGAGTATACTCCATTGTATAAAAAAAAAATCACACAAAATCATGCCTTTTTTATCTGTTCCTTAGTTGATGGGCATTTAGGTTGTTTCCAGGACCTGGCTATTACAAATGTGTTCCTATAAACATGGGTGCACATATGTTGCTGTGTTATGATGTTTTTTATCCTTCTAGAAAGAAACACAGAAGGGGAATAGCTGGGTCAAATGGCACCTCTAGTCCTAGTTTTTTGAGGAATCTTCACTCAGATTTCTACAGTGGTAATACCAGTCTACACTCTCACCAACAATGGGGAAGGGTTCCTTTACTCCACAGCCCAGGCAGCATTTATTATTGATGATTTTTTTATAACAGCCATTCTTTCTAGCCTCTGTAAAATGAAGTGGCCTAGTCAATAAAACATCTGATTAAGATGCACAACCGCATGTAGTCAGATGTTTCCCAAAGGCCTAGGTGGCATCCTGCAGCCCACTGAAATGACCCCAGGAATCTCTTCCTCTTACTTCTACGTTTCAGGTATTTTTTAATACTGTCTGCCCCAGATAGGAACACATCTTTGGTACCTGTTTCCCTTCCCGCATAGAATGCTTCTTCCTCCTCTTGCCCAGTTATGTTGTCTTGGCCTCGACTTGCTTCCTTTGAACACGAGTATTTGTGCCTTCCTCTTTCATCCATATTTGGGGCAGCTGATGATTTGACTCTTAGTTCCCTAAATATTTGAGGAGTAATTTGGAATGTTAGTCTTTTCTTTTGGGGGTAATTAAGTGGACTTTTTATTACAAACAGTCTTTATTGCTTTGGCATCTTTCTATTCCCAGTTTTACTCCAAGGCCCTCAGCTGGATTTTTTGGGTTTCTAGTGAGTGGACAGATCTCTTGCACTCTTCTGTATTTGAATTTTTGGGTGAGTATTATAAAACAGTCCTACAAATTATATGTCCTGTATTAAATCTATTCCCTTCCAAACTCTATGACACCTCTCCTCTCAAATGAAAGTATTTTCTGGAAAGTGTTCCAGAGTAATTAGTTATTGTGGAGTTGTTTTTATAACTTTACAGTATGTTTCCCTTTGCTTTTCATTTTGTATTGTTTTTTGGTGCCAGGAATCAAACTCACAACCTCACACTTGCCAGGGAGGGGCTGAGCTATCTTTCCAGCCCCGCCTCCACTTTTTGAGAGTCATGGTCTCAATATATAGTTCAAGGTGGCCTTAAATTCGTTATGTAGCCCAGGTTGGCCTCTAACTCACTTCAATCCTCCTGCCTCAAACTTTTGAGTGCTGGGATTGCCAACATGCACCATCATGCCTTGCTTCTTTTTGCCTTTTTTAGTTAAAAATCCATACAAATTACCAAAGAAAGTATATTTCATATATAAAAATTTGTTTCTGTCATGTGGCTCAGTGAATAACCTGGAAAATAACATGAGTTTATTAATCTATGTTCAATATGCCTTTTTAAATATATAGTATATCATTGGATTGTGTCTTGTTCCACAAGACAAGTCATCGTTCCTAATAAATTTTAAATTGTAAATGAATAATGTCTTTCAATATGAGTAGTACAGATGCAGAGTCACATGATCACAACTGAGCCAATGGGTCGTCTTGGAGCAGGATTATGGATGATCATCTCCCAACAGCCAGAGCTTACAGTGGACATCTCACCTGCAGAGGTGGAGGGAAGCGGGGTGAG